AGTACAGGTAGTTGTAGTAAGATTTAAAATAGTCTCTACTAAAAAAAATATATAATTATATGTTTTTTTTTAAAACTTTTCTACTTTCTTTTAGTTTTGTCTAGTAATTCTTATTTAGATATATAACTTTATACTAGACTTTCTTTTTTTCTAAATTAAAGTCTTTATTTAAAGAGGCGTACTATTTTTTTTATTACTAAAAGGCGGGTATAGCAGCAGCTATACTTATTAGTTATACAGTAGGTTTTAGAAAATATTAGTAGATAAAATATTTATTCTATTTATAATAAAGGCAGTAATCTACTTTATATTTTTTTTATATTTTACTAAATATTATCTATTAAGCCTGTTTTTAGGGGTTGTTGGTAGTTATATAAAAGTAGTATTTTTCTTACTATACAGCAGCTATTTAAATAGGTTTTTACTCTATTAGTTTAAGGCTTAGTTTATATTATACTAATACAGTCTTAGTATAGCTTTTTTTAAAAAGAAAAAATACTTTATTAAGATTATAATTTACACAGTATAGTTAGTTGTAATAATTTTTATATATAGGCTTTTAAAAAATTCTAACTAATCTTTTAATAAGTCTTTAGTTTATTACAGTATTTAGTATAATTTTCTTTTATTTATTTAACTAATTATACCCCTCTGCTTGTAGCAGAGCTTTGTTAAAGTTGTTTAAAAATTCTTTTAGTTTTATTTTTTTTTTATTTTATTATATTTATTTAGTTTAGGGCTTTTTATTATATATTAGAGTTTTTAAATATTTTATCTATTACTATAAGTATATCTTTAAGTTGTACTGTCTTAGTATTTTAGGATTTAATTTAAAAAAGTATCTGCTGTACTGCCTGTCTGTATAGTTAACTATAAATATAAAAGACTTATTTCAGCCCAGTAAAATAGTAATTTCTGTTAATTATAAGTTTTATATATATATTTAATTTAAATAGTTTGTAATTATACTTATTTTTTTATTAAATAATTTTATATTAGAGTATTAAAAGTAGGATGTGTGGTTCGGCTTATATAGTTGCTGTAGGGGGTTTTCTTCTGGTTTACTATTAACAGTAGGGGTTATATTATAACTCTGTAATTTATTTATTAATTTTTTAAAAGCTAGTTTCTGTTTTACTATTTTTATACAGAGGCTGATTAGCTTCTATAAAAAAAGTTGTATATTATTATATATAGCTGCAGATACTATAGTTAGCTGCAGTTTTTTCTAATCTATTTATTTTATTATTCTAATAATTCTTTTAGTTTTATTTTATTCTATTTATATGCCTAGTCGGGCTCTGTCTAGGGCTTTTTAATAAGCTATTTCTAATATTATAGAATAGATAGATTATACTAATTAAAATATATCTTAAAATAAAAAGAAATAGCTGAAGAGCTATTTTATCTGTTTGTATAAAATTTTTTTATATGTATGCTAAGCTAGTGCTAGTTTAGTACTTAGTGTGCGAGGCCTCAGGTGCCAACTGGTGCCTGAAGCCGAGCTCTATAACAGGGCCTTGGTCCCATAACAAAAGCTTATTAAAAAATAATATCTAATAGTCAAATACTAATAAAATTTTACTATTTACTATTTTTAAAAAGCTTATTTAGGATCTGTTAGTAGTATTTAGAAACTGTATTTTATAACCAATACTATACTATTTTTATAAAAAAAATCTTAAACTATTTTAGTACTTACCGAGTAATAGAGATAAAATTATAAAATTCTAAATATTTAAAAAATTAAAATAGTAATTATAACTTAGTAATAAATTAAAAAATACTAATTTTCTAGTTTAGTTAGCTAATTTTAGTAGTAGGCTAGAACTTAGATGCCTGTATAAAACTATTTATATTAATATCTACTATTATAAATAAAAAAATAGTATAATATATATTTTCTATATAAAGTCTTAGATATAATAAGTCCTAGTTTACTTTATATATAAAATAATATCTTTTTTTATAGTTAAAATTCTATTTTTAAATTTAGGATAGTCTAATATTTCTTTATAATATTTATATATTATTTTTAGAATACTATCTAAAGCCCTTACTATCTAAATAAAGTAATTCTAGATTTTAAAAAAATATTTTATATTCTACTGTATCTGTTGCTTTCTACTAAAATTAGTTTAAAGCTACTAAATAATATAGTTATTAACAGCTATATTAAAGTAAATTATATAATAATTATTATAATTAAAACAGACCTAATTAAAAGAAAAAAATATAGGATTTGGTAGTAGGATTAATTAGAAAAAGTTAAAGTTAACCACAGACTCTGTTATATATATAGTATTCTGTTAACTAATTAAAAGATTAGATATAATCTTAAAAAAAAAACCGGGCCGCTATTAAAAATATTTAAATAATTATTATAATATAATAATAAACAGATATTGGTAAACTGGGATATTTTAAGCAGAAATTTATAAATAATTAATAGTAAGATTATAATTTTATAAGAGAAAAGAATCTTTTAGATTAGAAAAGAAATTGGAAATACCCTTATTCTATATTAATAGTCTATGATAATTTTATTATAAAAAAGGTTAACCTGTTTAAAAACAGTAAGAAATTAAAACTAATTAGATTATAGAATAAATAGGTAATCTGTAGATAATCTATAAATCAGACAGATTATCTGCTAAAAATCTATAGAATTTATAGATTACCTGCTAAAAACCCTTTTAATCTGTTTATATAGGCTAGGAAAAGCAGAAAGAGCAGGAAGAGCAGAAAAAACAGAAAAAGCAGAAAAAACAGAAAAAGTAGATAGACTAAATAAACTAGATAAACTAAATAAACTAGGTAGACCAGATAAACTAAATAAACTAGTTTTATACTTTCATATCTGAAGAGGTTTGTTAGTTAAGTAAAACCTACAGAATATAATATAAGTATATTCTACTAAATAATATAGATTAAAAGGTATAAAAAATAGAATAACTATTTAATCTAATAATTTTATAAAGTTGTTTTTTTTATAAAATATATATTTACAGCTGTATGTAAAGGGCATTTTACTAATAATATTAATACTTTAGTTTTAATATTTTTAATAGTTTTATTTATAAGTAAAGTCAAAAGCTAGCTCTAGTATAAACCAGATTTTAGATATATTTTATATAGATATAATAATTTAAAAAGGAGAACTACTACTATAAGACCTTAATACTAATACAAAGTAAGAAAATAAAAATAAGTTTAGATTATTTAAAAATTTTATATATCTTAGTATAGCCTAAAAAAAAACTTTATACTTAAATAGGTTCTTAGCGGGTGATCTGTAGGTTGACATATCCAACCCACAGGTTGGCGGATTTGGGTCTTGGGTCCAGTATTCAGACCCGACCCATGGGTACGGGTCCTGATGTTGGACCCAAACCCGACCCGTGGCGAGGCCTAAATAAGTATAGTGTTCAAAAATATATATATATAAGGTGTCCAAACCGAAGAACTGTATAGAGAGATGTTTAAAATAGTATAATTAAGGCTTCAAAACACTATATATTTGTATACAAATCAAAAATCTATGTTGGTGCTGTATTTGGTGGATCTGCTGGCTTGCTTGCTTGCGTGGCTTGCTCGGTTGACAATTACGTTACGTTAGGTCAGCTTATGTAACTATTGGGCGACCAGGGTGAGCACTCAGTGCTCACCCTCCCTCAAAATACACTCTTCCTAACTTACCCCCGATCGCGCGACTGTAAAGCGACCTCACCTGCTAGCTCACCCAAGCAGCACCCACCCGCCTTCTGGCCGCGTTCAAGCCACACGCCGGGAGGTTAGTAGTTGGGTGGGTGACCACCAGCGAATCCCTTCTGTTGTATGTTTTTGCTAGTCTTGCTAGATTCTCTCAATCACGACACTTGCTGAATTAACTTATCCTGTTAGACTACTAGACACGGGTCTTTTTTTTTTCTGCACCCATATCATCAACCCTCCTGACCAAAGGGAGGTGCTGGGTAGCTGACTGGCGCTCCCCTTGGATTTACATTTACTGGTTTTAAACATGTATTCAACATGTGTATCCATTTATACGCTCCTTTCGGAACCCCTGGATCGGAACGAACTCAACAGCATCATTCCCCCGTGCACATGTCGGATCGCAGGTCGGTTAGAACGTCGGTGAGATACAGAACGACGAATACCACCGTTCCAGACGATGCATACGTGAGCAAGCCGTTCAGACCGCTGAGCCAGGTCGTCAGGGCTGACATCTATCCTCTTCCGAGAGTTTGGACTGTTGACCCGAAGCGCGAAAAACAACGAATCGAGGAATAGAAGGACGGTCTTTTTTCGGATCTATACAGTTGGGTGCTTAACCATGCGGACTTCACACGATGGAGATCTGCAGTTGGTGGTCACCCTTTTGTGGATCACAGGCGATCCCGGCAAGGGCAAGACGATGTTGACCTGTGATATTCTCGATGAGCTCTCTAGCATCATGACAAGCGGAGAACCACAATACCGCCTACTTCTCCTGTCAAGCCAACAACGCTCGTATCAACGGTGCCACGGCCGTTCTGCGAACACCGGGTCCTCGGAGCTCTACCTCACACCAAAAAGTGACCAAGGGACATGCAAGCTCTGGGATCGCAACAGTGCTTGCCAGTAGAGTTACGGAAACAAGGACAAGAAAAGGCTAAACAGCAAGAGTGGTGAAGTCATTCCCCGTCCCTGGAACTCTGTAGGACCTCGGTAGGATTTCAGTTTGCTCGGAGTCTTTCAGCATAGCCAATGCGAGCGAGATGCCTGCTCGTGCGGATCGAATCATCAAACTCAGTCTGGATTACATCTTGGTAAAGTCGAGGACCCGCACGATAAATGAACTACTAATCATCTCTCTGACATATTCGTGCTCTGAATTCGAAATCAAGGGAGCGTAGCAGCACTTTCCCCCCCTTCTAACCAACATTGCTCTGTTTCTCTCGAAAGTAAGAATCAAGCATTTCAACAACCAACTCCGAACAGTGAAGCTAGCGGCGACCATGACTTTCAAATCCATCCTCCTCGTCTCCCTGACGGTTCTATTCTCGGGCGCTCTTACCCTTCCTAACTCCCTCGACCCGCTTCAGCAGACGCTGCTCGACCAGGACCCTCCTCCCTGTGGCGCATCATCCCCCGAGCCGCAGATGCAGCAGGGTGATACCCCAGTCTCCGACAACCATCTCGGAATCCACTACGGGCAATGTTACAACCTGATCCATCCAGATCTCGGGCCGATCGTGGACAGCACGCTGGGGCGCCTGGGCGCAGCCGTGGCAATTGCTGGCCTTTAAAGAAGGCAGCATGCAGCGGCGGTTCCAGGTGTGTCGCAACACAGACTGCGAGTTTCGAGGCCCTGTAAAGGAGGACGACGGCTTCTACCTCAAGGACCTGAACGGCTCGCCGAATTCGCAGCGCCATCCCGCCTTCTTGGCCTTCTTGGATCTCGGGGCGCAGAGCCAGCTCTGGCCCTACGCCAATGACAACCTGGGCCGGCTGGCAGTCTTCAAGGGCTCGCCCACAGGGAATGCGGTCAGGCTCCGCCTGAAGGAGAGCGCCCACGGATTCAACGGGCTGCATGTCAACTCGAATGGTTGGCCTGGGCATAGCTATGTTTTCACCGATCAGCAGCACAATGGCCTGGCCTTGAGGTTTAAGCCTGCTTCTTGTTGAAGACAAAGCCAGACAATTGATCGTTGGTTGGGGATGAGGAGTGGTGTATCACGTCGCAGTCATTGCCAGTGCAGCAAGTCCGCACAGAAAAGGAGAGACAGTTCTAAGCGGCCGGCGCACGGCCAACAAGTAATGTTGGGGTATGATGTTTTGCAGCAAAGACTACCTTGCCCTAGCTGGACTAAAACCACGGCTGTTGCAGGATGTAGTGCACAAGCACGAAGTACTTTATGAAAAACCTCAAGAGAGAGTGGTGTGCAGCATCCGCAATAACAGGTAGCTGTTACGGGCAGTCTCGATAGTACAAAAGTATGATACATTGCCTTTCGCTGTGACTTCATCGCTATCAATGGAAGCAGCATTAATTACCAGTAGTCATCACGCCGTATAATAGTATTCTCGCACAAAGGTTCTGGTCTGGCAGTTCTATTGTTCGCAATGTGACTCTGTGTGACCATACTAGCAGGCTCTCACTTTCTCCTCCTCTCGGCCAGCAATCCGCTTTCGCCTGAAGCTTGCTGAATCCTTGCGAGTGGCGAAAACCCGAATATACGGTTCCGCTGTGGCACTCTCTCCAGCTTTCACGGAAGTGGATCTTAGCATTGGGAGGCGACAATTGATTTCTTTTGGTCGAGTTACAACTCGATGGCGTCTCCAGTAGAGGTGCGTTAGGTTCCCAACTGCCATATACTGCAAAAGACGTATTTCGGGGATCACTGAACATACATCGCATTAGACAAACACAGTCTAGCCGTCAGCGCAGGGATGCTTGAGCGATGGGGAGCACAAAGAGCTCTTTCCCAACGACTTGTCGTGTCTCAATATCTATGGATCAATCAAAGTAGATATGTTTGGCTTGAGTAGCCTGTACCATGCAATTAGAAGCACTTGACTCCAGCGCCAACGTCCCGTGATGGTCCAGTGGCGTGTTGGCATGGAACCCACCGCACTGCAATAGTCTGTACAGGAAGCGGACCTTCACTCTACTCTTATAATCGTGTACTGCACCAGGTAGACAGCCTATCCATCCTACCAATTGTCGAACACAATTTCATAGGATAAATCTCAAGACTTCATCAACTCATGCTCAAGAAGACTCAAGCAACGGCCACAGATCTCCGTTCAAATCCCTGCCCTAACGAATTTAAAAACACCAAAAATCAAAACCCATAAGACCTCACCCTCAACGACCCCGCCTTGCCTCCCACCTTCGCCCCAACACACCTCCCCGGATGCCACACCGCAAGCAACAACACCACCGCAGCGATAGGCGCAAACTCCAAGCACGCAAAGTAGACCTCATCCGTCGCCAGCGTCGCGCCCAACCCCTCCGCCGTCTCCGCCAACCGAAAGATCGTGCGCAGATACACCAGCAGCGTGGCCAGGCCAAACACCCCACAGAACACCGCATACCCGGGCCCCTCATTCCCCTCTTCGCCCTCACCCTTCCGCCTGCCCTTCGAAATCACCCCCCTCGCGCGGACCAAGAACCCCGCCGCGACGACAATGAACACCGTCATCGCGAACACCTGATACGCCAGACCCCCCAACAGGATATTATTGGCCACCGAGGGATCCTGCTGCCGCGACTCGCGCACGCCGACCAGCACGGCGCCAGCGATCTGCACGACCGTCGAGATCACGTCGGAGGTGATGAAGAACCACAGGATCGCCTTCGGCGGGAGGAGGGCGTACTGTCTTCCGAGGAGGGGGATCAGCCCGGACAGGATGGTGTAGATCCCTGCCGCTAAGAACACGGGCGCCGTGACGATGAAGAAGTAGTTGAGCACGAAGTAGATCAGGTTGTAGGGGTCCTGGCGCGCGGACAGCGCCCGCGCGATGTACCCGATGATCTCGAAGATCAGGCCCACCGAGAAGGGGAGCCACCACCAGCTGCGGTGGCGGTGGGTTTGGATGGTGTGCACCACTAAATGCAGGAAGAACCAGGTGGCGGCGAAGGCGGCCAGGGCGAGCGAGGGCGTGTAGCCGTAGATGATGATGGAGGTGTCGTTGGGCCCGTTGGGGTTGGGGATGTTGGGGTCGATGTAGCCGAAGGATCGCGCTTTTGGGGCTCTGAGTTAGGGCTTGGTGTTGGGAGGTGCTGGGGGGGGGGGGTTTGGTACTGTACCTGTGATATGCGGGTGGGAGGGCGCCATGGTAATAAGTTAGGGGCAGTTTTCGCCTGCGTTTAGTCACTTTGCATGTTCGCGATCGAGGTACTGGTGAGCATTCAGCCTTGTTATAAGGTGTTTGGGCGGGACTACCGCCAAGCGATCTTCTTGTCTTGTGGAGAGACGTGTTCATGAAGGGTTGTAGTGGGTATATATAGCTGCAACAGACTGGTCATGCCAATGCGCGCCCAGCATCTCGCTTAGACTGGTCCTGGCTTGGCCTGCGTACACGTGCGAATCCAGGTCCAGATCGTCTGCAGCTCACCTGGTTCGATTCCATCGGCAAATCGAAGAAACAGCCAGAGCCCCGCCTCGGCTCTTTCAAGGTACTCGTCAAAAGCTCACCTCCGTAATATGTGGGTCTTGATGATGGCCCCTGCGCCTAGTCCTCATACTACCGTATGTACGTACTCTTAGGGTTGAGTCCCCATGCGGGGAATGTCAACTGGTTGCACGAGCCGCAACTATGTGCACCCAAGCCCTAAAGACCTTCCTCCTTCTCACATGAGCGGAAGAGAACATGCAGACTATGACAATAAGTATCCCAACGGAGACTTGATTACCTGAATCTTCCCCTCTTCTGCTGCTGGGACAACTTGAGATGCAGTACGTCATCGCAGCGGAAATGCTGATTCCAAGGCTGGCCAAGGCTGCCGAAACCTGGATTTCCGAGCGATCGAACAATCCATGGGAAATCCCGATCTCCACCTGCGCCACCCTCGCTAATCGGAACCAGCGGGGGTGTCGGTCCAGAATATCAGTAGACCGTCGTCTTTGTTATATTGTGTATTATGTTTGACACACTCAGAGCGAACTTTGCTAAGTAGCTGTTCATGACTATCGAATTTACTGTTAGTCGATTGGCATTCGCAACTATGTATACCCAGATCGGGGGAGTATATTATCGAAAATATATACACCAAGCACCTTCAACACAACCTTTATACAAACAGGGTCGCACGGGACTGCATAATCTGGTCATGTCCTTTTATGTACAAGCCTTGCAATAGCGACCGCATGTTCATCCACAATTTACCAAGTGACCCCCGCCAAAAGCTCAGGCAGAGACAGCCCCAGCTCCCGTAGCTCCCGCGCGCAGCGGTGCGTACTTTGTCTCTCGTCCAGAGCAAGCACACCACCGCACTTCGCGACAGACAATAACCCCCGTGGCTATCATCATGACCACCAAGAAACCGAGGTAAGCGCCCGCCCTGTCCATGCAATTAGTCGAGTGCTTTGGTTTCGACCGCCGGCTGCCCGGTCTACCGTGACAAGAGACAAATAGATGGCTGTACTTACCGGTTCCAATTGCTATCAGCAGTAGCAGCAGCAGCAGCAGCAGAGCTTTTGTGATCACCCACGGTGTCGGAACTCGCTCCATCGCCCTCAATCTCCGCTGGCGTGGAAGATGGGACCGCTTCATCGGCCGCAACACCCGATCCTGACAACAAGGACTGCCCAGGCGCGCAAGCAGCGAGATGATCCGCCGGGATAAGAGTGGTGAGCCGCATCCGCTCCTGCAAAGCCAGCGGGGCTTCGACGATGGTGAGCACGAGGCCCGAGTATGCGTGCCATTCCATGTGGCAGTGAAAGATCCAGACCCCTAGCATTGATAGGACAAACCTAATGAGCGTTTTTGTTTTTCTTTTCTTTTTTTTCTTTTTCTTTTTTTCTTCTTCTTTATGTTTCACGAGCAGATCAAAACAAAGCAAGAAAGGCACTACTTACCAGGATTCGTCGATCGAAACCGAAGCACCAGATTCCCACCGGGATGGACAATGGCTGTGTCGCGCCGGATGGGAACCCTAGGAAAATCCGCCTCGGTCGCTCCGGTGTCCGCAAAGCTGCCGTTCCCGGCCTCGGAGCGGTAGACCACTTGGAAGTTGTGACCGTGCAGGTGAAACGGGTGGCGGCTCATGTGGCCGTTGTTGACCACCAGTTCTACGGTCTGGTTTTCGGCGAGGATGAAGGTGTTGGTGGTTTGGTTGTAGGTGGCGGCGTCGGTGGATAGAGCCCCGGCTTCGAGGGCGTGGTATAAGGTCGGGTATTCGGGCGGGGTGTAGGCGATGTCGTTGAAGGTCCAGCTGTTCAAGGGAGTTTGTATGTTAGACAGGTGGCTTTGGGGGGTAATTCAAAAGTGCTAGGCTGGAGGGATGGATGGGAGGAGAGGGGAGGTAACATACTGGCTTTTTCCATCCGCAAGTCGGGCCGTTCCCATATTTAGAGTGATGCTCTGATCCGGTGAGGTGAAGAGTGGTTCCCCGTCATACGGTTCCAGCGTAATGTCGTCAATTGCTTGCGAGATGTCGATCTCTGCGGATGGTTCGTCGAGTGGCCGGCTCGGATCGTAGACTAACCACCCGGTAACAGTGACTTGAGGTCGCGAGTGGGCCATCATGATCAAAGCCTTGCAGAAGCAGCTCAGCAACTGATCCCGCATCTACTATTCTGGGGGGGGGTATACCTTGTCCATGGTCACGGTAATAGCGTAATTGCGGCTGGCATTGTTCTTGCCCTCAATTAAAACCCCGTAGCGCTGACCCGCGGCGATATAGATGGTCTGTGCTTGTGCTGGCTTTGTATAGACACCATCCACCTCCACGATCGTCATCTCATGGTCCTCGATTGAGAGATATTGTCCCATGAAGCCACCGATATTTGCAATCCGAACAAGGTATTTCTCGTTAGGTCGAACCGGGATCTGGAGGTTCTGAGTGTCGTTGATCAAACTCGAGTCCGGCGTGGGATCATGGAGCATAGACTGATGGAGATAGTGTGGCATCATCTCCGGCATTTGCTCGTGATACCAATCCGAGATCGAGAAAACAATCTCCTCGTTGTAATCATCATGGTACGGGGAGGCTGCATCGTGCACGATCAAGAGGCCACGAAGTCCATCCGGGTACTGCGACTCCGCATGGGCATGATACCAGTACGTTCCTGGCTGGTTGACCTGTTGGTTTTACTTAGACGATTGTTCTTTCACTCCGACCATTAGGCCGTGCCAGTGACTATGTAATCTCATTCTAACCTGAAATTTGTACTGGAAGGATGATCCAGGCTGGATAGCGCACTGGGAAACCTGAGCCGTCCCATCCATGTGGGGGGTGCCCTCCATGAAAATGCCGTGAAAGTGCAGAGCCGTGGATTGGTTGCCCAACGAGTTGAGCACATTCACAACTATGGTATCCCCAATGTCAGCTTGAATCTGCGGCAAAGGCCAGGCATGATTGACGCCAATCGTTGGTCGTGCTTTGGCACCATCGGGGTTGGCGAGGACCCAGGTAACGTTGAAATCATATTCTACTGTTTTAGAGAGAACAGTAGTGACGACTGTCAGTAGGCCGAGAAGGAATGCTGAAGACAGCATAGTCCGTTGTTTTGGAAGTGAAAATTAATAATAATAGTCCTTCTTTTCAAATGATCTATTCATCAAGATAAATTTGTGAAGTCAAAAGTGCTGAATGTCAGCTTGGGTTGTAAAGTGTAAGTATCCAGCATTAACAGCGCTTGGAAGATCAGGCAATCTGTTATCGGCCCCATTCTTTACCCGGGCACAAAATTATACCTTCAGACGAAGGAAGCCAGACTGGCAACCATAGCTGGACTTTTAATGACTATGTTGCCGAGGTCCTACATCAAATCACAGTGGTTATAGCATAGACAATGAATAAATCATTTATCCTATGGCAGGATCGGAGCTGTATTGAGGGTTCCAAGACGTCTTCAGTTTTGACACGTGATCTGGCATAACCGACAATGCTGACTCAGCAAGGAAGAATCATGGTCCCGTGACCGCAGATGATCTCGTTGCATTATATGTGATACCGATCTTTCATTGGTCAGTTACCTGCTACACTTGAGGTGACCGGTCGGTCCGATTGAACCTGAAGGCATAGCCTCGAACTACTCTCAGTAGGTATATAGATAGAAAAGTGATGTTGCGCAGTTCATCGGACTTCAAAAATCTGTGCAGAGTCTGATTCTTCTAACCCGCTGCCTGACCGCGTGGCCCAATATAGTGTAGAGACTAAGGTACTCAGGGAGCAAGATCCTGACTGTGAATTAGTGCGAAAAGATCTGCAAGCGATCTCACAATTTTCAGATCAATAGATATTGTACTGGACTACCTACCTACCTACCTTGTTATGTAAGTACTGAATGTTATGATATACTAACATCGGCAACTCAGAAGTTGTTTCGAGACATCCCGAACCCTCTTAGACCCCTGCACCTCTATTCATCCACGTGCTCTATCTCAACTCAGCACTTTAGAAACCACGAGACACTGCGGGGAAAATATCAATCAGCATCTGGTGAGAGCGGAGGTTCTCCCATAGATCGCCTCCTGCTCATCCCCCGCCAGGATAATGTCAAACCGCCCTCGCAACACCGTAACCCGCTCTGCCTCGGTTGCACACGTTTGGACCAGCACGGACTTGTCCCCCGTGATGACCTTGACCTTGTCCTGATTCAGAACGACTTTTCCGTAGATCTGACCCTCCCGCTGCAGGAATTGAATGACCAGGACGCGTGTGGTGAGGAAGCTAGCCGGGGACTGGCTGATGTAGAAGTTCATGACCTCGAAGTCGCGAGGGTGGAACTCGAGATCGGAGAAGGCGTAGCATGGACGACAGGACTAATCAGCACCATTGGCGGGCTTGATACGCCCATACTTTCTGGCCTTGCTGACATGAGAGGCCCGGCACGGTGTCGTACAGTAACCGCAGCTCTTGGATGCCCAGGTTGGGAAGCCTCACCTCAGGGGTTGTGACAAGCAAGGGCACGGGGAGGATGGGGCCGTCGCCGCCGTAGCCCACGTCCACCAGGTACTGGGTGTGGTCGGCCAGGGTGGCGATGTTCACGGCGTGTTCCCTGTTGTCAGGATGATTAGTAACCGGGATACTCAACAGTCGATCGAGAAAGAGAGAGAATTACCACCCGGACCACCCTGGCATGGAAGTGGTTGCATCCCGGTGAAGACGCGCACCCTTCAGGTATACCTGAATTCCCAAGAAGCGCAGAAAATGACTGAAGAAGAGGTTATGTTCCATGCAGTAGCCCCCTCGGGGCCACGGGCGCACGCGCGCCCGGCGCCTTACGGCGGCGGCTATATATTTAACAGAAATCTACACTTTATTATCTACATAGATCACCTTATATCTTCTTACATATGCCTTTTCTTTCTTCGGCCAAGGTCCTGTGCCCTATTGATCAGATGGTGGGCATCCCGAAGCCAACCGGATGGATGTCACAACTGGAGACCAGATGCTATTAGAAGACCAAGTCATCATGGTAAGGTGAGTAAAAGGTCATGATCGGGAGTATCGTTAATACATGAAGACAGGAGAACCAAGCGTTCTTACATAGATCCTAGTCTAGCTTGTCAGACGCAACAATATCATATAACTGAGAACAGGAGGAGATGTTGTGAGCCGTACGTTCTTGATGGCTGTATTGCTGGTGGCACAAGAAAGGGTGGAGCATTGCTCCTTTGAAGAAAATAACTTATGGTTGGGGCCGACTGCAGTTTATGCTGGCAAGAGCGATCTCTAATTAGATGGAGACTACTTCTCAAAGAACTATCTACATCGATTATAACCATACATTGTTGATAACTAGCGCATCCTATGTGCAGAGGAAGATGGGCTATGGCCCCAACTACGGCGAATAGCAACCTATCTTGAGAGCAAATATAGAATGTTTACCATTCTCAGCATTTTGATTCACATTTGCAAATACAATAAAGTGGTTTACGATTTCTAAGGACCTTTCTAAGCACTTGTCAAAGTTAGTAAGGCAGTAAAGTCTCTCCTAGTACCCTCGCTCACAAGTAAGTACTAGGGTGAATCATGTTATCTTCGAAGATTTGCATAATCTGATTACTATAGGCAATATATTCTTACCAAGCTTCATCCATTGCATACTCAATATACAGGATTCAATAAAATGATCTATCAACTCAGTAATAGGTAAATACCTCCATGCCTCATTGAAAAGATCGCTATGAAGGCTTTAGTGATAGCCTTACTTTCTTATATAGAGACTTTGGTAAAAGCTTTGCTAGCCTGCTTACTCCGAGAGAGGCTGAGAAATATACTTATGAAGGACCTGGAAAGGTGCTTGGAAAAGTGCTTAGGGGGCCTTCGCCTTTCAGCTTCCTTGAAAAGGTACTTGCACCTAGTACCGCAAGGGAGACTGTGTTTGCAGGATGGCAGCTGTAATCCGCTGTACACCACTGATGCCACCGATAAGAACTGGAAACCCCCGAATTACTGCACCGTTGAAGACAAAGATCTCGGAGACTTGCTATCAATAATCCTCTTCACTTCAATAATCAGGCCACCAAAGGAGACAAAAATGACTTGTGAACGTGCACCGATGTAAAAGAAGAAGTTCAGTCGTTGCAAGGATGTACCCAGCACGATCGCATCTGGAGTACATGTTCGGACAAACAGAGGTCACTTGATGACGATTTTGTGACCAAGGCCCGGTTATTATGCGTCATTGCAAATCGTATCTCAATACGTAGCTTCACTCGTATTGAAAATGGGCAGTCCATGACAGTCCTGGTTCCTCCATGGCCAGGATACAGAGCATTAATTATGCTTCCAGAAAAAACAGGTTCATAAGAGTATCTCGGATCCGTCTGCGTCAGCACAGCATGGAGTCACGGAAACGTGGACAGCTAGGGATCTTGGTGTCACCATGCTAACAGGTGTAACGAGTAATCCTGATATTACTGTGTCATTGCTTTTTGCTGTCGTGTTAGGGTTACACGGGGCGTATGGGGCGTACCGGGCCTGGGGAGCCGGGCAGTCGGGTTCCCGTGGGTTCTTGTAGCACCCAGGCACATCGTTCGTGCGCTCAACATACGTTTCTCAAACTCACACTGAAAAGAATATGATGTGCCAATATAAGATACATGGTTAGATATCATTCTGGGAGTGTTGGTTGACCAGGTTCTTGTATTCAGCAGGTAGTTTATGTGCCGCCCTCCCTTGCTTTGGGTTCTTGCCTAGAACAAATCGCTTTCAGACACAAAGAGCTCGCAAAAACGTCATATCTATTGAAGGTATCCCTGCCCCTTGCCTATTTTGCTGATGTTCATACGAGTTCGGATGACCGATAGGCTTAATTTGCATAGCTTGTCATTGGATGCTGCTCTGAGTGGAGCCTGGGTCCATCCTCCAACACTCACAGCTAGATTGTAATAGGGCCCGAGTGCTTACTATTCTAGCTCCTCTACAGTAGAATCGTAGATATCTGTTTTATGGCTCTCTCCTCTAACTGAGATATCCTTGACACGATGATAGTGAGGTCTTGCCACAGCAGTCTACAGGCTATGCAAAATAGAAGGGATCTATTCCGTGCTTCATTCTGAAAGCAGATGGTCAAAGAACACAAGTTCAGGATCAAGATACCATCCCTAGAAGAAGCCTTCTTGTATTTTCCATGATGACCGCTACTGCATCTCTGACCCACGTTATGATTTTCCGAGAAAGAACCTGGCAAGGATGCCACCGGGCGCGTTATACGAGATCTCGGTTGACCATTCTGCTCGGACTTGGAAAGCCTGGACAGGGGTCTAATCTGCGATACAGGAGAATAAATTGCCATGCTTTCGTGTCGGTCTAACGAATTCTCCTCTGCAATTCTCACATAGAATCAACATGTTTTTACAAACCTACATCATCAGTATCATAACTTTCTTCGGCTTCCAGTCGAGCTTCCCATTGCTCCGTGCACCATATGAAGCGGAGTCACCTCAAATCCCAATTGCGCCAGGCACTCTATCGTTTGTGCCTCCAGGCGCTGCTGAGGATGAGAGTGCCCATGGTCCCTTCAAATGCCATTATCCTGCTATGGCAGCCGAGTACACCTACGATCCCTCGCCTAACAACCGAGGTGTTTGGCTGAAACATCGGACCGATGCTTCTAAGGATTTTACTATACACACGGACTATGAAGTTAGGGCTCCTACTGGAATCGAACGCAAAGTAAGTATTTCTTGCCAGCTTCTCGACGCAGTGAAAGGGTAAACAATCCTAGTACTTCCTCACCGTGGGCGAGGATACGAAGCGTCCTGCGAATTGGGATGGCATCGACTTTCCATATGCCAAGCTGTTTGACAAGTCTTTCCCTGGCCCTTGGATACGTGAGTGCTGATGCTCTCTTCGGGATCAACGGTGTTGCTGGATACTGACATTTTGACAGAGGCGTGCTGGGGGGACGTAGTGAGTAAGTATAAACACAAATCCATTACTCCCTCCACTACTGAACAGAGCCGTATCTAGACATCACCGTCAAGAACACCCTCTTCAAGAACGGGACTGCGATTCACATGCATGGCATTCGCCAGTTCGGGTCCACCCTCATGGACGGCGTCCCTGGAATCACTCAATGCCCCATTGCACCCGGGGACACCTTCAGCTACGTGTTCAACACGACTCAATATGGATCCACCTGGTACCACAGCCATTACAGTTTGCAGTACTCTGATGGCCTGCTGGGTCCGATGACGATCCACGGTCCCACATCCGCCAACTTCGACAGCGCCCTGGACCCGATCCTCATCTCTGACCACAACCACCGCAGTGCGTTCATGGACTACTACCAGGAGCAGTTTGCGAATCCTGTCGCAAATCCGCCCCGCGTGCCTCCTAAACAGACTAGTATTCTGATCAATGGACAGGGTAAGTGGCATTTGCCTTGTGAGGAATATGCGATACAGTCATTGACATCTAATGTGAATCAGGGAGTTATGCCGGATCATTCCCCAAGAATCGATATCATAGGAAGGTGAAGCCCGGAAAAAGATACATTCTACGCCTGATCAACGCGTCCACGGATAGCACGTTTATTTTCAGCATCGATGGTCACAACATGACGGTCATCGGCAGTGACTTGGTCCCAGTCGAACCGTATAGAACAAATCACATCTATATTGGAATTGGTAATGCTCACCCCCAAGCCGCTGTTCTTGTTGACACGGTCACACGGTGCTTGCTGAGAGAAATCACCACTAATTGGCCAAACAGGCCAGCGCTACCACGTCGTCCTCGAAACCCTAAGCAAGAAACAGATTTCTAGATCCAAACAGGGCTATTGGATCCGCACCGAGCCCGCAGAGGGATGCCACAACTTCGAGACCTTCCCGGACGACAGACAGGGCATCCTTTGGTACGGGGATGACAACGAAGATGAACCTCCGGTACCGACCACGACAGCCTGGCCGTACAATTCCACTTGCAGTGACATGCTCGACCTGGTCCCCATCGTCCCGTGGACCATCGAACCGCCGGCTACCAGCCTCACCGCAGTGAAGTACCACAGCAACCATGCCCTCCTCGAGGCCTCCGTCACGATCGACACCTGGTTCCTGCCCGCGGAGGGCAACGACGCCGCCGCAACGGTCAACGTGTGGCAGTTCCTGAACGACACCGTCTTCGTCAACTACACCGAGCCCACCGTCAACCACCTCAACCCGCCCTACGACCCTAATGCCGTTATCTACTTGGCTGAGGAACCACCAGTGGGTTCTCCACAAACATCCACCTGGAACTATATGATCTTGATCGGGGGGAATTTGGATAATCCCACCCCGGTGTCGGGGGGCCGCTTGGTACCTGTTGCTCATCCGGTATGTCTCCACCCCCTCACCCCTGGTTAGAGTCCCTCAATCCTTGTCCAACCCCAACTCCAAACGCTCGATAATACCACATCCTAACCCAGCCCCATATCTCGGGACAAAGATCCACCTCCACGGCCACGACTTCGCCATCCTCCAATACTCTGAGTTTCCCTACGACGGCCCCGGGTCCCTCGACCTCTCCCTGGACAATCCCCGCCGCCGCGACGCCGTCCTCCTCCCCAGCAACGGGTTCATCGTCATCGCCTTCAAGACCGACAACCCGGGCGTCTGGACCCTGCACTGCCACATCGCGTGGCACGCGTCCGGGGGCCTCGCACTGCAGGACCTAGAGCTGAAGGAGGTGCTGGCTGCGCAGATCGCGCAGGTCCCGACGACCTTCGCGAAGCAGCAGCTAGATCGGACATGCGACAACTGGGAGCGGTGGTATGCGAATCCGGCGAATCATTGGAATCCAAATGGGCGGTTTCAGGATGATTCGGGGATTTGATTTGAGGGGGATGCTTTTTGGGTAGGGGACTGGGCTTTTGGTCGGTGTGCGTGGTATGTGGATTGCTTGCTCTGGAGGTCATGTTTGTTGGAGTGTGGGTTGATAATGGGGCGAATAAGATAGCATGCCCCAGTCCCATTAAGAACAAATGATAGGAAAATCATGATAACCTATCTTTGCACAGTGAATCAGGAGTATGGATTAGAAACATTTAGCAAATGATACTAGACTGACTGGATCTATGAAACACTGTCGTCCATGACCGGTGGTTAGAATGGGTTAGTGCCGGATGCTAAACTGACGGTGGAGATTTCCGGTGAACTTCATTTTTATCTGGATCGGACGGTGGCTGCCAAGCACACAGGTGCTTGAATCATCGCACTATTGTAGACCTAAAGCAAGATACACTATTATTACTGATTGATTTGTCGCAAATGAATATGCACCATAAGTGAAGAAGCTCCACCCGAGGGTCCCGTTTTCTCACTATAGAAGGGTTGATATGATTGGTCCAATCGCATACATTGCCCATTCGGGCAGCGGAGATGAAACTCACCTTAAATTAGGGCTAGCATCCATTCACTTCTGCCCAGCTACGTACTCTCTCTATAAACCACCCCCCTGAGTCCTATAAATCTATCCAACCCCCCTATCAACATAGAACAGCATCCACAAAACAAAATGCATCCCATCAACCTCCAAAAAGGCTCCCCGCACCCCTCCCTCCTCCCCGCCACCCACCTCCGTTCAGCTGCCGCAACCGTCCTCTCCAACCCAAGCCTCTACATCCCCGCCCTCGACTACGGCGACGAAGCAGGCCACCATCCTCTCCGGACGAGCATTGCCAAATGGCTGACAGACTTCTACGCACCCGCGCGACCCATCCCCACCGAGCGAATCTGCATCACGGGCGGCGCCTCCCAGAACCTCGCGTGCATCCTGCAAGTCTTCACGGACCCGCGCCATACGGTGGCGGTGTGGCTCCCCGAGCCGTCGTATCACTTGGTCTTTGCCATGTTCCGGAACGCAGGGCTGGGGAATCGGCTGCGGGCTGTTCCGGAGGATGAGGAGGGGTTGCTGGTTGAGTGGGTTGAGCGGGGGATTGCAGATGCGCGATATCGAGCATGTAATTCTAAGGCATGTGGGGATGGTGGGAATGCCAGAAGCACAGGCGTAAGCCAGACGAGTCCTGGTAAGCAATACAAGCATCTCATCTACTGCGTCCCGACCTACGCGAATCCCTCCGGCGCAACTATGTCCGTCCCCCGCCGCGAGGCGCTGGTTCGCTTGGCGCGACGACACGACGCGCTTCTTGTGTGCGACGACGTGTATGACTTCCTCCCTGTCATGGCCACAGAGCGCCCGCCTATTCCGCGGCTTGTGGACGTTGATCGTACACTGGATGGTGGTGTTGGGGATGATGAGTTCGGCAATGTGGTGAGCAACGGATCGTTCAGCAAAATCCTCGGCCCCGGCTGTCGGGTGGGTTGGGTGGAAGCAACCCCGAAGTTCGTAGATGCGTTGGCGCAGTGGTATGTATTCTTTCCCTGCTTCCTTATTCTCGCTCGGGAATTGAGTCACCCCGTGGCAGCCATGAGCTAAATGCATTCTTGTCCCCGCAGTGGATCCAACATCTCCGGCAGTGCACCGTCACACCTGACCTCAACCTACATCAACCAGATGTTCGAAGATGGAAGCCTTCACACCCACCTTAACGGAACTATCCTGCCGGCCGTGTCAGCAAGGTACCGCCTTCTGGCGGATGCAGTGCGGCACAAGCTGGCCTCCTTGGGCGTAATCTTCCAGCCGGATGAGGCGCGCGGGATGGCAGCAGGTGGCTTTTTCTTGTGGCTTCAGCTGCCTGATGGGGTGAGTAGTGAGAATGTGGACCGCGAGGCGGCGAAGCAGGGGCTGGTGATTGGGAAAGGGGGGTTGTTTGCTGTACCAGGACCGGATCTGGGTGGCTCCCGGTTGCGAGTAGATGGGTTTCTTAGGTTGTGCTTCATGTGGGAGAATGAGGATCGGTTAGTGGAGGGGGTGGAGAGACTGGAGATGGTTCTGAGGGGGCTGCTTGCTTCGACATGAATCTACTGCATCGCATGCATGCGCAGCTGCTTGAGGACACACCGGGGAGTTTTACTCAAGGTAACCGGGCCTGAAAGTAAGAGTGCCTCTTGCTCTCACTATCGGAAATGATTCCCTCTGTCGTTATAACCAGCTCAATAACTACAACTCCCAAGCATCCACTCAAACATCCCAGCATGCCAAATACATCACCGAAGGACAGATGAGTCAGTCCAGCCAGGACACCCCAGCAAAAGCCTCCTCCAGCCCAACCAACCCCTCCACTCCCAGATCCTCCGCGCCCAGAACCTCCTTCTCCTGTCCCACCACAGTGAACGACCTCCCATCCGTAACCTGAAAATAGTAGTGCGACACATCCATCAAGTCCGCCAGCCCCGGCCACAACGCCCGATAATCCTCCCTCCCGACCTGCACACACCTGACCTTAACCCCCTTTGCCCTCCCAAACGCCCCCACCACATCCCTCAGCGCACGATACTCGGTAATCGCCGCCACTACCTTCCCCGGCAGCGTCCTGTCAGGCTGCTCCAAAACCGCCTTCACAAACAACCCCACATTAACCCTCTCATCCCCGGCCACCGGAATCCTCGTCGCGGGGTCAATATTCGTCAACATCAGAAACCCGTCATCCGCGGCGCCCCGAACCCTCATCGGCTGGAAGCACGGCAGCAGCATATTGGCACTGTACCACCCAGCCCAGAGGAAAGTTGTCTTGGCCCACAACCCCGGCAGGGTTCGGGCAATAAAGTCGTCCACGCGGCGCTTGCTCTCGTAGTACGGCACGATCACTGCGCCGGCCGTATTGGCCGAGGAGTCCGGCAGCGTCGACCAGACCAAGTGCTCCAGGGTCGCGGTGGCGGCCGCCGCGGTGGCGATGTTGGTGCCCAGCTGCGTCTCGAGCGCCATGGCGCCGTCGACGCCGTGGGTGGGCAGGGCCTCGAAGAAGTTCGTCACCGCGAAGATGGCGTGGGTGCCGGCGAATGCAGTTTGCAAGGAGCTGGGGTCGTGCAGGTCGGCGGGGATGAGCTGCACGCCTTTTGCGGCCAGGGTCTGCGCGGCGGCGCTGGTGGGGTGGCGGGTTATGGCGCGGATGGTCGTGTAGGTTGACTGCGTAGAGAGGAGGGCGCTGACTACGGAGCCGCCTTGGGTGCCGGTGGCGCCGATTATGGTGATTGTCTTGGTCATGGCTCGCTGAGCTTCGAGGAAGAGGTCTTTGTGTGATGGATTGGATGGATGGACGTGGGAAAACTTAAGTTAGGGCTGTGCGGGAGGAGGGTTGCTCAGTTGCTATCTTGGGCCACTTGGATGAGCAACGTGGCTCTTTATATAGTTCTTAGGTGTACATATAGGTACTTTGGGGATGGCTCTCAGATGAAGTAATACGAAACTCTATACTCCGTATCTGCTCCTTTCTTTGTATAGATGCATTATTAAGCTCTGCGGTGCAAGCATCTGGTGTTTGCGGAGGTGGCGGGCAAAAGTGGGGCTCCCCGCAGCCCGCAGCCCGCAGCCCGCAGGCCCTACCTAGACGTAAAGACGTTTACTGTACCTGCTCAGCACTCAAACAACACTTCTTGTGAAATCACCCTCAGACACAATCCAGCCAACTCAATACATCCTCGATCCAGTCCGCACTCCCTTCCTCAGCCCCTGCTCGTACGCAACCGCCCGCACCAGATTCATCAGCATAAAATCACACCCAACCGCCCCCTGGATCTCCACCGTAGCCGGAAACTCCTCCTCCACCAGCGACACCCGGCTGTGATACTGCACCGTCCCCACCGGCACCGCCACCTCGGGGCTTTCGTTCATCACAGAGAGATAGTTCCAGCTGATATACCCCGGGAGCGCCGGGGCGCTGCCCGCCACGGTATAACTGATGTTACTGTCCCGATACCAGGGGATCCCGCCGTTGCCGTTAAAGGGGAAGACTACGATGGCATCGGAGCAGGTTTCCTCGTTGGCAGACAGGAAGTATCTGCGGTAGAAGGTCTGGAACTCGGATTGGAGAGCGTGGCCGATCTCGCCTAGACTCGCGTTCTGTGGGGTAAAGGAGGGGTCGCTGGCCGCGTTGAGCGTCGAGTAGGGATAGCGGCCGAATTTCGCGAAGTAGTCTTTCTTGAAATTGAGGGAGAAGTTATACGTTCCCGAGACGTAGGGGATGAGCTTTTTTCGGGTCAGCCGCGTCGTAGGTAGGTAGGCAAGAGGGGTATTGTCGTGGTATAAACCTACGTTCGCGAAATAATCCGCCAGGCTCACGTTACTCCCCGAGTACTCATGCCAAAGCGCATTGCTGTCGACGATAGTCCGGTTCACGCCCAGGAATGCTTCCAAATTCTGGACGTATTCCTCGCACGGCGCCGTGTAGTTCGGGTTGATGTTCGCCCAATACTCCCGAGGGTAGAGGATCTTCGCGGGGAACTTGGTGTAGTTCTTATAGCCGGACTGCCCGTACATCACGGCACCGAAGGTGTTGAAGGAGTCAACGTCGCGAGCAAAATGGCCGGCGACGTCGAAGGGTCCAAACACGGTTGCGGTGTTGTTGGTGCTGTTCTTGGTGGAGCGAATCCCGTACACGCCGTTTTGCGCGGCGGGGAAGCGCATCGCTGGCGACGTTGCGGTGTGAGCCATAGTAGATACTTTCGGGCTTTTAGTGAGTAAGGTGGTCCGACTTACAGCCGCCGGTATCCTCCCCAATGGTGATGTCCAGCCAGTCGTATGCGGCGAGGGACGCACCCGAGCCCGCAGAAGAGGCGCCGGGGATGAGGTATGACTCGCCGCGGGGGTTCTATCTTCCATTAGTCTTATGAAAGCGATCTATCCCAATGGGCTAAATGACACCTACAAAAGGCAAAGAATAATCAGGCCACTCCGCAATGCTGAACCACGCATTGGCGAAAACCGACAGCTTGGTTTTGCCGACAACAACGGCGCCCTGGTCGAGGAGATGCTGAATGACTCCGGACGTCACATTCGATGGAGGATACGTCGCGGCGTATGAGCGGCTTCCAAAAGTTGTGATAAGACCCTTGATGTCATACTGGTCCTTCACGCCGATGCGATAGCCAGCAAGAGGCTGCTCGGCCGTAGGCCTGTAGAACAGCCTGGATGGCACGGCAACCTGCATCGCTCCGTAAAGGTCCCCGCCGCTTGCAGGGAGGACTTCATAGGTGTTGATGTCGTTAGCAGATGGTATGGTCGGCAGGACGAACGCATTAGTATAATCGTCATAGAGGCGCCAGGCGCGGTGCAGGCCCGAAGATGTCGCAAAGTAGGGGCCGTCTGGAAGGGTTGCATTGTGCTGTGATGAAGCCCAGAATACCCGGCTGGTACCGAATGTCTTAAGCAGGGAGTCTGCGTCACCAGCCAGGGTAAGACCTTCGGGACCCTGGAAGTAGAACGCTAACAGGAATCAGTCATCGCTCGGAGCAAAAGTACAAAGTTCTTACCGTAAAAAAAACCCTTGGTGTAAACGTCGTCTTGGACCAAGAAATCAGAAACGGTGCTGTTGATCCACGATGCTGTAATGACTGCCTCTTGGGATGTGAGGACGGTCACCGGAAGTGCTTCTTGCACTTTGAATTCATGCGCCAACTAAATTTATGCATCGTTAGGTTAGATTCATGGATCCCTTAGAGAGACTTTGGAATGGTGGATAGGTAGATTGCATACTTCGACCTTTGAGGGAACATAGTATGGCACATTCAAGACATGGGCCACGCTCGACGCGAAGGCGCAGATTGGAAGTGTCGCTAGGAGAAGAGCGGCGGCAGTCATTGTACCGGTGGTTCTTAGCAGTTCAAGCATTCATCTGTACGGAGAGTGGGTGTGGGCGTAGGCGTGGGTATCGGACTTGATACATATGCTTCGGGCTCTCAATGCTGCTGCTGGGAAAGGTAGGGATAAGGTTGAGCAGTGTTAATCACAGAGGCTTCAAGCTTAATCCCTTGATGCCTATCATATCGCCGATACCATTTCTGTTACGCGAGTATCACGCGTCATTGACCAACAGGATGTTCACGGCCTTGATAGCCTCGCCAACAGTCTTATCCACAAGCTCTCTTCCACCAGGGAAAGCCATCCGATCGGCATGCCAAGACGGTTTAGCGGCGGCAACGCAACATCCGCCTCGATAGATAACTGATGTTCAACAGTTTCCCGGAGCTGATAAACCAGCCACATCAAGATACTGTGCCCATCACCCCTTTCCAGCTTCGAGGCTATCGCTTTATCATGAAACCCATTCAAAATCTACTCGATGCCCAATTACACTTATCCATTAAAGAGCCAGACAACATGTGGAAAGGAAAACCTCTACCAGATGTGGAGAACTGACGCGATCGCTTGTCATTCCGCCGAGGCATGATAGTAATGGAAAGTTTGGGTGGTCTTAGCATTATTGAACTACTTAGTCTTCAGTCTGCATAACTATTCAACTAGGTAAATTGTGGTGGGGGTCGAGAGACGAGATGACACCTTAACAGCACGTATGTGCAGAGACAACTAGATCTATGTGTCTTCTAGACACAGTCGGAGTCCGCCAACAAAGGTCATATCGACTCTGCAACCAAACCCCCCAGGTCCTCAAACGCTTCAGCAGCCTCCAGCCCCTGACACGGAACAATCAGCAACTTTTCAAAGCGACTTAGCCGCCGCGGCATCGAAACAAGCCATCGCGCCAGGAACGCTTCGTAGGAAAGCGTCTCCGCATTCTCCCCGCGCCAATGCTCCTGGTCCCCTTGAACTGCACACTCACCATCCACGCCCCAGGATGATATCTCTACCGACAAAGGCAACTGCCGCAGCGTATGCAGTCCCACGCAGATGCCTTCTCGGTACACCGAGTTGACTCCGTAGAGAAAGTACACGAGGAGAGCTGTGCGTCGGATGCACTCGCCAAGGACCCAAGCATGTCGGGTATTCGGCCTTTGAAGCTCCGGCTCGGATTGCGCGCGGACTATAATCTTCAGCGCCGTGGTCATGAGCATCGACCCCTGCTGTTCGGCCGTGATCCGCTGTGGCAGGTTGCCGTGGAAGAGGCGGATGGTCTGGTAGAGCAGTAGTGCTTGGAGGCGCGCGAGCTCCGTTCGGAGCGGAGATAGCGTGCAACCAGAGCTCGAACTTGGGTCGGTGGGGGGTTGGAGCAGCTCGGAGACTTCAGCGTCGATCACGCGGAATGCCATCTCCCGGTTCGTCGTCTCGGAACGGAGACAGAAGGAAGAACAGACACCAAAGGCTGTCCGGATAGGCTGTGGCATCTCGTCTCGGTACAGGTCACGGTGGATGAAGATCGTCTCACCCCGTTGGGCAAATTCCCCCGGGTAACATTTCAGCTCGTCCATCACCCACTGCCATGACCGTGTGCTGCCTTGGATTGGCTGCACCTCGCCGAGGGTGCCTACGAGTCTTGATGTGGCGGAAAATGAAATACTCTCCGGCGTGATGTCCGGGGTACATGTACCTGGTGTGAAACTCAGTGGAAGCTGTAACACAGCGTCTTGGTCGGATGCATCCAAAACAGCCACGGCGGGTGACTTCAGAAGCTCTAGTTCCAGGACGGTGTTACTCGCCTGCGTTGTTGACGAGATACCTAATATCTCGTCTGACGCAGTTAGTAGTTCGTTGGTGCGGGCCCGTGGCCTAGGCGGGTATGCATATTGGCAGTTCTTCTTTGTCCTCATGCAATTCTCACAGACGGGATAGCAAAGATCACATTTTCGTCGGCCTTTAAAGCAAGCGTTACACGACCTGCGTCGTAGCGACATGATGATGGTAGCCTGAGGTGGTGGGGTATGGGTCGGAAGTGGCGGAAGTGGCGGCTTCTTGCTGACGACGATGAGATAACGCAGCACTGCATGCAGTAAGCGCTAAGGCAGCACGTGCCCTGATATCGAGCCCTGCAGTGATCCGCTCTGTGGATTTGTCTACTATAGAACTATAGGATCTCAGCTTAGTAAGTACCGGTAAAAGTTGGCGATCTCTTTGTATAGTAGGAGATAGAGGATCAGAGCATCGATTTGATGATCGGCTAACTAAGCCTTTATGGCCTGAGCCGGCAGTTACAGAACCCTCCATAGAAATACGTCAATTGATTATGAGATCAAATCTATAGATGCGGAAAATTATATTACACAGAATTAGCTCCTCAGAGACGAGGTAAATCCTTAATGGTACGGATGACGACCTCCATGGTGCTGGTGGAATTGGAGGTGCTGCCCACCCAACCCATGCGATCGCGGCGATGCGCGCTGCTCTGTATGCGAATCCTGATCTGAAGATCCCGGGCCAGTGGATGTTGATGATGAAGCTGACAGGACCACTGTGACATCCGGGCTGGATGTGGCAAAATAACACGCGGATGGCGGCTCTGAGGACTCCAAACCCACCGAAGAAGAAGTCGGCATCTGGTGGGCTGGAGTCGACGATTGAGCCGGAGTCGAGGGTCTGGCCGATGCTGTCGCATTCCTTCTGTAGGACGGGAGCGCACTGCTTGAAGGATGAGCACTACTCGAAGCAAAGGCATAAGCCCCCGCGAGGGGACTATACGGCGTCAAGCCCGGGTAGAACGAAATTGGGATTGTCGGAATCGGGATGGAAGCGGAGGTTCCAAAGGCCGTCGTAAGGTCCTCTGCCATGGTGGTGGCCGAGTAGCCCGTCGGGGGCGTGTTGATATACTGCGTTGTGGTGTAGCCTCCCGCGGTGCCCGTGACTGGAACGGTCGCGTTGGAAAGACAATAGCCCGAGCCGTACGAGTGCTCGCAGACGTGCAGCGCATAGTGACCCTCCTCGTTCCAGAGGGCAAACTCCTCGATCGCCAGGTCCGTGCAGGGCGTCAGGGCGGGGCATTTGACCTTGATGAGCGGACGGTCCTCGCCGTCGATCTCGGTGCCTTTCCAATTACGGAACGTGATGTTGCTGTATGCGATGCCGTCTCCTTCAATCGTGGACATGCTGCTCCAGGCTGTGTCGAAGTCCAGGCTGTAGGCGTTTCCATGGCCTAGAAAGGTTGGCATCGATGTTAGATTGCTGGTTCAGGGCTAGGGCTAGGGTTTCGGGCTAGTGAGGCAGGACCAACTCACCCATGAAGTTTTCGAAGAGAATATTCGACACAGCCCCGGATCCTCCGTTGCTCTTGATCATGAACATCTGGTTGGATGACCATGTGTAGACGTTTCGATAGGTGACATCGCTGACGTTCGTTCCGGCGCCCAGGGATCCCATGGCGCAGCCTCCGCTGCTGTTGCAGTAAATGCTCTCGATGAGAATATTCTTCGACCCCGTCTGTCAAAGGTGCAGTGTTAGCCAACAAAGTGCATTGACGAATTTGCGGGGGCGCATACCTTGACTGTGACACATTCATCTTTATTCGTACCATGACCTGTATCAAACCTTGGCAGCGTACCTTGTCCCATCAGCAAAACATAATGGAAACACCCACATCATGAATCCAGATATTTGTTCCGCTGGCATCAATCCCATCGAGCCCTCCATGATCCTCACCGCGGATTGCCATATTACACACCTCACCATTAGTAGCACCCTGGATAACAAAGTGGAACATTGGGGAGTTGACAAGCGCCAGGTCATGCACCGACCAGTTCGATCCCCCACTGACGTGGAGGAGTCGCGGGCCCACGAAGTTACCTGACTGGTGGTACAGGTATCCGTTGCCCTGGATGGCTCCGCGCGAGGTCGAACTGAACAGTTCGAAATCACTGCTGGAGGAGAACTCAAACATGTACGATTGCGAAGAAGGGGCGGCTCCACGATAGATGATTCCGTCTAGCTGGATGGCAAAGGCACTACCATTGGTGAGGTGCACCCAGGTGGTTTGGAGGTAGTGGCCGGGTGGGATGTAGATGACGCCCCCTCGTCCGCAGTCCGCGAAGGCATCGATGATGGGCTGTCCGACGTCTGTTGCGTTGTCTGCAACGGCACCGTAGTCGAGCACATTGCACGTTCTGGTGGCGTTCTTCTCCGCCACGGTCGTCAAGGGTCCAACACGGCCAGAGAGCTGGCCCTGTGCCGTGGCAAGGAGCAGAGGAAGAACCTGCAGGATGGAGGTTAAAGCAACCATGTTTGGATCAGGTCTTGCTCTGAAGACATGGCCCATATGCCGCGGCACAGTGTAATATATGTACAGTGTAACATGAATCAGTCATGCCGGTCATCCCTTCTCGATCGCTCTTCCGAACGAGTCAGCAATCGACCCCAGTTCTCCCGTGCCCTTAAACATGTTCCCCCATTGAGCGGGTAGCATACGTATGCCTGGACCACGACGCCCGATTGCCGATTTAGATAGATTGTGGTGGATGCCGATCGCCGGGGAAAAGCCTCCGAAGTAGTTTAGTTGCGTCCACCTGTCAGCCAAAATCCAACGGCATTGTTAGCCCTAAAACAAGGGGCAAGGAGTTGGTCCGTAAGCGACCCTCGGCCCCCATGAATATGCAACGATCCACAATCTACTCAGTAAGAATCTTCAGTGGCTTCCCCATCGGCTGAGGGTGTTGCTATAAGCGAGGTTCTACATATGTATGTCCCACGGAGCCAACCCGTGTATGGCCCGAACACGACACCGGGTGATCGGATTTGCGGCACAGGAACGGTGATGTGAGAACTCAGCGTACACAGTGCATATGCCATGCGGTCAATACCCTTGTGTGAAGTCTTTCCGTGAAGTGTATTTTCCTGGCCCGTAGATTCGTGGCCTTTGTTTACCGGTCGATCAGCTTCATCGCTCTCTTTACGATAAGTCCCCAAAGTTAGCGTTGGATGAGGTGTGGGGGCATGTGTGATTGTAGGTGCTGGCCCCGTCTTGAGGGCAGGAAAGGTGGGGCAAAGATTCCCGAATAGATCGCTCTCTCTGTGTACAGTGCTGCTTCTCCTAAAGGACAATAGTCAGACGTCGACCAATGCCCCCATAAAATAACTTACGGAGTCATGAGCGGTGACTAGCCTGATCTCACCCTTAAGTTGTGAAAATCACCATATCACTCCTTGGATAGTGGCCGACACGTCTGGAATGCTTGACAGAATGAGTAGATGACTGAGATGGTGGGGACTCGGTCCGGAAGTGTGAGCCGCTGATACTGACACTGCCATTGACAACAGCTCAGCTTATCTGGATCCAGGGATCCAGCTTCATGCGATACTGCGGGGCATCGATCTTGGTGATCTCTGGACGGAAAGCCTTGGCTCGAGGTCTAGAGATTCTGGACCGCCCCAGACTGGGCCGAATCCGGGGCATCCGGGGCGGACTTCTTGGCGTCTTGTCTTGGCTGGGAACAGACGTTCGTCCCCAACGGTGGAACGATTTAGATTTGAGGCGATGTGGGGACCTCATAACACGGGTATGGAGCTGAAGACACGAACTACCTGTGTCTAGATTTTGGGCTCGTGGCAGAGTGAGTAAATTTGGGTGCTGTTCTATTGTCTTTGATCAATGTCGGTTGCAGGACTCGAAGATTAGTTAAACCGTCAATTAGTTGATGAAGGTCATATACTTAGACCCTAGATAGAGAGGTAGAGCGGGACCCTTTTCTCAGACAAATTGAGCGTACAGAAGCTTGGGATTATCAGCCTGAAACTTCGGCAACGGTCTTGTCGTGAAGAAATCATGGTTTTCATACCTCTAGCGCCTACCATATTCTCTGAGGTTATGAAGAACTCGTAAGCGATATCCAAGTGTTGCACTAAGATCATTGCAGCTTGTCTGCGCTTGTAGGTTCCGCATTCCTTCAAACTCAGATGCCTGACACCTGCCGCGGAAGTCGGTGCAAAAAAGGGTTATTCTTGGACATTCGTATTCCACACTTCATTCCGGGGAGAGCTCGTCGCCAGCCACAATAGATCACCCTGCTTCCAATTGCTTGGGCTCTGCAACGTGTACTTCCTTGGAGGCAGTGCTGGCTGGGGGTTTGTGATGGGGTTGAAGCAAGGTCTGTGTTCCCGTGTCGTAGACCCGGATCACTGGGTTCGATACGAACGATCGAATGCCTAAAAGCGGATACGAATAGACCCGACGTTAAGAACCAGGTTAGATGGGGATCTAGACTGAGCAATTCAGGCCATGGGAGGTGGCTACCAAGACCTAAAGATATCAATGGTATTGGATTTCGCCTCAGTGAGGTATAAAAGCCTCGAGTAACCCTAACCTCAGAAGACAAGAAGAACACAGCACACAATACCATCATCATCACCACAACAAAGCATTCTACTCAGAACCAAAACATCCCAACTCCTACTCCTTCACCATGAAGTCCCCAATCTACCTTCTGACCGCACTACTGCCCCTGACCCTGGCCCTACCCTCCGCCGAAGAAGCCGACGTCGACTCCGACGACATCGACGTCCACCTTGCGGCCCGAAAGTCCTGCAAGTCAAGCAAGCAAATCAACTACTACCAATGGCCCGTGGTCCAGACCGGAAGCTATCAGGCGCAGACTAACGTTGATTACCGGTGCAAGTGGAGGTACGCTGCAACTCTCCAACCTAGCAAACCCCATCCCCCTTTCCCCCTTCAACCTGCCTATACTAACACGATGATGCTCTGCAGAAATGGCGACTGGTACAAGACTGGCAAGGGTTGGTGGGTGCGGGGAAGCGATGTCCCCAGCAATTGCAGTATGTTTACCCTTTGCGATGACCCGTTTACCCTAAATGTTGTCTGTTAAGAGGATACTGTGCTAACGTACTGTACCACCAGAGAGCGGCCTGCCCACCTGCAGCGTCTGAGCTTGAGAGGCTTCAATGCTTGTTTTGGATGGGATTGCACCCTCATATCTTTTTCAGTTGTTTCGTGTAGCAAATTGATTGATGTTTTTTCGACAGTAAAACAGATAATGACAAATGAAAGCGTTATGAATTCGGATACTTTGGGTTGCGTTTCACGGTGAACCTTGTCGTATCTGATGTACTGACTCCTACAAAGCTCAATAAAAGCGGCTCATTGCTATGCATAGTGTTTCTAACTTACCCCTGCGACCATCAGATCGGTGTGTGTTGTCTATAAAACAAACCGCAGCTAGCCCTAAAGTGGGGACTGACTGAGACAAGTTGAACTTTTGAGATCCGCCACAAGCAGAACATACCACGTCCCCAGCCTCATGCAAATCTGTCGATCCTGGATTCAAAGCGAGACCTTGACAAAGCAGATTGATTTCGCATCTGATAAACGGCTTGCACCACTTTCCCTACAACAACTAGTCCCCACGCTGGCATCAATCCACCCGCAACCTTCTCCGCCACAGATACTCATAATCCGGCATGGCATCCTCAACCCACCTCCCCATCTGCTGCGCCACCCGACTCCCAAACTCGTCCTCCCACTTCACCTTCTCAGCCCCGACATCCACAAAGGCGGGGGTCCGATCCTTGAGCAAGGAGGTCGACCGATTAAGCGTCGCGAGCATGACCGCCTCGCCCCGGGCGCGATGATCCTCTTCCTCCCCCGCGGGCGGCCGCCTCTCCGCCTGGTGCCAAGTGAACCGGACCTTCTCCGGATCCATACCGATCAGCTCGCAGTACTTAGCGACAATCTCCGGGTGGTGGATGACATCCTGCGCATCGAGCAGCAGCGGCGGAGGCCGTGGGTTCCCGCGACCACAGTACCAGTCGTACAACAACCTCGTCCACCGCAGCGTGGCGTGCAGCTCCAGGAACGGCTCGATCATGCGCGGCTCGCAGAAGCTCTCCTCCTCCAGCCCTTGCAGCGCGCGGTAGAAGGAGGGGAACACCAGGGCCGGGTGGCGAATGAGGAAGGTCGGGCGCCACGTGGCTAGGTAGGCGTCCGGGAGGATGGTGAAATTCTCGGAGGAGAATGCTGCGCTGCTGATGCTGGTGGTGGTGGTGGTGGCGCTGGCCTTGAGGTATGATTTGGGCACTTGCACACCCAGGCGCGTCGAGGGGTGATGGCTGCGGCCACCCGTGGCCAGGTACTGGGTCATCGCGGCTGGTTCGGCCAGCCAGAGGGTGTGCTCCTTGGCGAAAAAGACCTTGCCTTGGGTGAGGGCGGCCTGCGAGGTGGCTTCGATGTAGTCGAGGTTCTGCTGGAAGGCGTGCCGCAGGTTCGCGGTCTCGGAGGGGTCCCACTGCTCGACGGGCCGGCGGCTGCAGATTGTGTCGCGCTCATTCATGAAGGCGTCCCAGAAGAAGTAGCCGCCCCGCTCGTTGGAGACGACGTTGGGCTGATCGGGCAGGGAGAGCATCTTGACGAGTAGGTTGGAGGCCGTGCGGGGGTAGGTGATTAGGAGCACCCGGTCTGCTGGCTTGGGCTGTCCCAGGCGGTGGGCATCGTTGCTTGGTGCCATTTCTCGCGCTATGACAGGAGTGATGAGTGCCGATAGTAGGACAGATTAAGAAATGAAAATGAGAGACAGAATACGACAACTGTTCACTGTTGCTCTCTCGAAATAAATGGCTAATGTGCCTCCGTGATGCTGGAATTGCACCCCGTAGTCAATGACGCGCTACCCATTCTTCTTATTCTTTTGTTTCCTAGATCAAACGACTAGCAGCAGCTGGAGGCCAATTTGAATGGCCCCCTGGAGCATTCCAGGAAAAGAGTTCTCCACCTTGTTGCTTAGGAATGTGCATGCCATACCTCAGACCTCCCAAATCGGTGAACAGTGCTTGCGCTTGACAGCTTTTGCAAAACACATCACAATGTAACATTATCTTTATATCCAAGGGGTCGCACAGTAAGAATAATGGTTTCTTTGTCCAGACCAAAGCAGAGTTTCCGCTGTATCTCCTCGACCCAGCGATGCGGTGTCGAATCGTATGTAGCGTGCAGCACACACCCACGCTGCTGATAGATGCGACGGACACTCCCGTATTTCCGGCCGTTAATAATCACACGTCAAGCAGTCTCCGACATCTCGTTAGTGAGCTGGTTGAGATTTCCACCAACCAGTGCGTGTCCCGTGAACTCAGGTGAAGCAGGATCTAACGTTAGCCCTCGTCCCAGATCGCCGGATGCGGAAAATCAAATCCCATGCGAAGTATGGAACCGTGGATTTGACAGCCGCAATATAGACTGGGGTTGCTGTCTATTACTTAATAGACTATTTATCGTGGGTCCAGTTTCACGAAGCACAAACTTTGCTGCCCCCTCCCCCCACCCCCTCACCCTCAAATCCGTAGGTATCAACATTTTTTGGGCGCACTTTGGCTTGCAGTACGATAGTGGTGAGATGGCCAGAAGTCTCAGCATCTTCGAAAATATTTTAGAGATTTGAGGCGGCAGCAGATAACATTACTTGCTGTTCGTCCTTTTCCATCCTCTGCCGGCGCAGTGACACGCGTGCCTGACTTACAGCGATTCCAGGAGACGATCTCTCGTGAACATTGTGACCTGTTCTCCGTACCGTAGCGGGGCATAGCCGTTGCTAGAACTCAATTTCCGGTAGTCTTGATGTAATCAATGGCCAGCCTGACTCTTTACCCAGACGTGCACGAAGTGAAGCATCTACTGACGCTTCTGCCCATGGGTCCCTTATAACCCCTCTCTCTGTCTTGTCTGGGCCAATCTTTGTAGTCTCTTTGCATGGTTCCGCACAAAGGCATAGGTAGTGGGTTTGTACAGTACGCATCACCATGGGCGTCGATTGGAAGAAGAAGAAGAAGCTGGTACTGGGTTCCCTCCTAGCATTTACTACTAGTCTGGTGGATTGTGCCAATTGGGCGTCCTACCAATCTGTCAGTTGCTTCGAGCCCCGGTAGTCCCTCTAAGCCCCTGCTAACCACCTGGTCGACTGTCCAGCGACCCGACATCCGTGCTCCGATCCTTGAGATCAGCCTCAAGAATGACAGCCTCATTAGCCCAGGGTACATCTTTATTGCCCCATATTTTGGCGATGTGCCAGGGCCTTACATCTACGACACCAATGCTGTATGATTCTACCCAACCCGTCTATCCCCCCAGCCCAGCCCAGCCCTAATGCCAGCAGAATCTGATATGGAGCGGCGCCGACGGCTCCACCACCGACATCTTCCAAGACCTGCACGCCTGCGCCTACAACGGATCCGACCACCTGTGTTACTTCCAAGGCACGCAGATCGGCGGCTACGCGCGCGGACAGCATGAGATCCTGGACAGCAGCTACAGCCCGGCGGCCACGGTGCGCAGCGGCAACGGGCTCGAGATGAGCGACATGCACGAGTCCTCGGTCATCAACGGCACGAGCATGCTCATCCCCATCTACCAGCCGCGCACCGCCGACCTGACAGCCTACAACGTCCCCGCCAACCCCGGGTGGGTGATCGACGGGGTCTTCCAAGAGATCGAGATCGCCACCGGCGCCGTGCTCTTCCAATGGAGCAGCCTCGACCAGGGCATCACCCCAGCCGAATCCTACACGCCTCCCGGCCTGAACCCGGTCGTAGGCAACGGCACCAGCAACGCCACATCCTGGGACTACTTCCACCTCAACTCCATTGACAAAAACCCCGCAGGCGACTACCTCATCTCCGCGCGGCACACCAGCGGGATCTACAAGCTCTCCGGCACCACGGGCGCAGTCCTCTGGCGTCTCGGCGGCAAGCAGTCGACCTTCACGCAGACGAACTACAACTTCTCCTCGCAGCACGATGCGCGCTTCCTGGCCGAGAACGCCAGCACCACCGTGCTGTCGCTCTTCGACAACGGCAGCGACAACTACCGCAACACCTCCGCCACCTCGGCGGGGATGATCGTCGCCCTCGACCACACGACCAACACCTCCACCCTGCTGCGGCGCTACGACGCCCCCGCCCCCGGCATCCGGGCGTGGAGCCAGGGCAGCTGCCAGATCTTGTCGTCGGGGAATGCCTTCATCGGGTGGGGCAGCACCCCCGCTTTCTCGGAGCATCTCGAAGACGGCACCCCGGTGTTCTTTGCGGGGGTTGCTGACGAGCATTCTATGAATTACCGCGCCTACAAGGCGGATTGGTCGGCCGTGCCGAGTGAGCCCCCCGCGTTAAGGATGTATAGCCCTGCGGCTGGGGCGGGGCCGACGACGTTCTGGATGAGTTGGAATGGGGCAACGGGGGTGGATCATTGGAATGTTTATGCGTCGACGGCGGCGGCGCCGGAGCAGGTGGTGCGGTTGGGGACGGCGGGGAGTGGGGGGTTTCAGACGGCGTTTACGAGTTCGGCGTACCATCCCAAGGCGTTTGTGGAGGCTGTCGGGCGGGATGGGACCAGCTTGGCGAATTCGTCGACGGTGGATGTCTCTTCGACGTTGCCGGGTTGATGTGGGTTGGTGGTCTTGGGACTGGTTGTGTTGGTGGGGAGTGGGGAGAGAAAGTAGTTGAAGTAGTTGAATGCTGTCGGTGTAGAAGTCAATGTTCCAGTGTGGCGTTCTCAATTCCTGTATCCGTACGAGAACTGCACTTGGTCGACAATGCATTATGTGTTTCAATACTTGTTCTGTCAATTCTAGGTGCAATTGTAGCCGCCATTCAGGGACAGGTACTCGACTACACACATTCTCCCATCCCCGCGCTCATTAGGGCTTCCAGCCCTGCGCTTGACAACAATGCTACATTGTGCTACTGGGAAGCCTGCAGCTGTCTAGATGAAACTATCCATTGGGTGCATACCTATCCAACCCATCTAGGCTGGACACTTTGGTCTAACCATGGTGGACTAATCAAAAGTGGCGTTTATTTGGTAGGTTTTGTCTGTATCACTCGGCTGACAATGAACTCCATTGATAGCTTCCACCAGCAAGGCACCTATGTCAGATCTCAAATGTTGCGATCTTGTATTCAAGACCAATCCCGCTCTTTGTTTTCTCTCGGGTTGTTTATGGGACTGTCTTCATTGAACAAATACTGCTGAATGTTATCACGGGTAGATCCGCAATCGGTCAATGGAATGTGTACGGGATGGGAATAGATGTCTTTCCCCAGACAAAATAACCTATTCCTTAGAGTCGTCACATGGCTTGCCTTTCCCTAGCAGAACCAGTTTGTAATGAGATCAAACGTAGCTCTCCCTATTTCCACCCAGTCGATGACTGCAGACTGGTCGGTTCAGAATGACTGCCCCGACTGTAGGGTGAAGTGTGCATCCTGGCCCGGAAAGCTGGAACAGAATGCTTCGCAACCAGGACCATGTATGCAAGTCTCCATCAAAACTTTATGGTGCTGCAAGCCCACGCAAATGGCAGATAAAGCGATCAGGCCTGCTGACAGATAGATAAAGACGGTCCTTTATTTACTAGCAGTGACCCCTCACCATCAACCCACATCAACACTGTCAACAATGCGATCTTAGGCGTATACTCAGTGTATTCAGTTGCTTTGTTGTATGAAAGAGAACTTCACAGATCCAACCTCCGTGGTCCGAGCATAGGAGCCCTCAGCAAGTCTATAAATATACCTCACGCAGCCTCCCAACCATGGCCATCACTTCCCACAACATCAGTCTCAGTGACAGCAACGCAGACTCCTACACACACCACTTACCCTCAGCATTCACCGTGCAACCACCCCCAACACAATGGAAATAACCACCCCACCCAAGGCCTCAAGCCTCGCCGACGGATGGACACTCACGCCCGTCCCGGTGGGCCCGGAGACCCCACTCTCCGCCCACGGGAAGCACGAGGAGTTCTCGCACGCCATGTGGTACATCATGGGTCCCTGCCGCCAGACCGGGTGCGTGGGCACGGTGGTCAAGTACCTGATCCCAGAGGTCCTGCGGCTGCCCGGCGAGAGCTGGGAGGCGGAGTGCCTGGGGATGCTGGTCTGGCTCGGACTGCCGGCCGTGCACTGGGCGTTCCAGACGACGAAGCCGGCGTACGGCGTCGTCCGCGCAGGGACTGAGACTCAGCTGTACCGCGAGGTGGTCGGGGAGGTGCCCGCGCTGCGCCCGCCCGTCCAGGATGCCCCCTTCCCCACGGGCGAACCCCCGCGCACGATCTACCGCTACGAGTTCCAGGGCCGCAAGACCTTGGACTGGATCGAGGACGCACCGCTCATCGCGCAGTGGACGCGGATGGTCGAGAACGACCCCTCCTTTACGCCGGACAACGGGTCGGTGATCAGTACCGCCATCGCACCGCCTCGCGACGAGCTCCCGCGGCTCCCCGAGTCCCAGGCCGTCAGTTTGATTCCCGGGGTAGATCGCGTCAGATGTCTGGCTATTGCCGAGGCCATTGATGCGGCGTACAAGGCTGCGGGTGCAAAGGCTGCTGTTGGTGCTGATGGGGTTGATCTCAGTAGTGCTGATGGGGCTGATGCGAAGGGTCCCAAGAAGCCTTAATTCTTCATGATTAAAGGTACAGTTCTTGACTGTGTCCTGCTTATTCTTACAGGAGTTCAATCAAATTTCATATCTACTACTTATATTCCGTATCGTTGATCGTTTATCGCTTATCGCCTATCGCCTATCGTCCACCGCTTATCCGCTTATCTCCGTTGTCGGACCGGATCAACCAACCACCCGGCTATCCTTGCATTCTGGCAACAAACAATAATCATTTCCTCTCCACAACCAACCCATAAGCATACCGTCATCGATGGTCGCCGCTACATCATCTCCTCCCCGGTCCATCCGGCGTGCCGGGAGTCATGGGACGGAAAGAGAGGACCGCGTCGATGAGACCACGGCTCTTCTCCCGCCCAGCAGCCGTACCGACGCCGAGCCGGACCCAGACGAAGATAAGCCTTTGCCCATGGGCCAGATTCTCCTGCTGTGCTACGCCCGGGTCATCGAGCCGCTCGCCTTCTTCTCGATCTTCCCCTACGTCAGCCAGATGGTGCAAGACAACGGGGGCGTGGCCGACGCCGACGTCGGCTTCTACAGCGGGCTCATCGAGTCCCTCTTCTCGCTCACGCAGGCCATTATCATGATCTTCTGGGGCCGGGCGGCCGACCGCTTTGGCCGGAAACCCGTGCTGGTCTTCTCGCTGTTCGGCGTGACGGTGGCGACGGGCCTCTTTGGGCTGGCTCAGACGATCCCGCAGATGATCCTCTTCCGGTGCCTGGCGGGCGTCTTCGCGGGCACCATCGTCACCATCCGCACCATGGTGGCCGAGCACAGCACGAGCCACACGCAGGCCCGCGCCTTCAGCTGGTTCGCCTTCAGCGGCAACCTGGGCATCTTCCTGGGGCCCCTGCTGGGCGGGAGCCTGGCCGACCCCGTCCGCCAGTACCCGGGGGTCTTCGGGTCGGTGCGCTTCTTCGCCGACTACCCGTACGCTCTATCGAGCCTGGTGGTGGCGATGGTCGGCGCGACCGCGGCGATCTCCAGCGCCCTCTTCGTGCAGGAAACCCTCAAGCGGGAACCCCCCGCCTCCGCCGACCGTGAGGAAACGGGCGAGTCGGCCGCCCGCGCCGCCATCAGCGCGGAGCTCTCGACGTGGGACCTCCTCCAAGCCCCCGGGGTGGGGACGGTCATCTACACGTACGGGCACATCATGGTGCTGGCGTTCGCGTACACGGCGATCGTCCCGGTCTTCTGGTTCACGCCGCCCCAGCTGGGCGGGTACGGCTTCACGCCGCGCCAGATCTCGCTGCTGATGGGGCTGAACGGCGCCGCGCAGGCGGCCTGGCTGCTGCTGGTCTTCCCACCGCTGCAGAAGCGTCTCGGCTCGAACGGGGTCATCCGGCTGTGCGCCTACGCCTACCCGTTCTTCTTCCTGGCCTGCCCGGCGGGCAACGTGCTCCTGCGCGTCGGCACCGAGGCCGCCGTCCAGGTGTTCTGGGTCTTCGTGCCCATCACGCTGGTGCTGGGCTGCGGCGTCAGCATGAGCTTCACGGCCATCCAGCTCGCGCTGAACGACATCTCCCCGTCCCCGCGCGTACTGGGCACGCTGAACGCGCTGGCGTTGACCGGGGTCAGCGGGCTGCGCGCGTTCAATCCGGCGCTGTTTACGACGCTGTTTGCCCTGGGCGCCCGGTCGCAGTTGGCGGGCGGGTATGCGATCTGGGTGTTGATGGTCGTGCTGGCGCTGGGGCTGTCGGTTGCGGCGCGAGGGTTGCCAGAGCCGCAGGAGGCGCGCAAGCGGGATGCGCAGCGGTGATGGTGGAGACATAGCGAGATATTGCTCGACATCGCCAGGCCTGGCGAAAAATAAGTACATAGACACATTTATCGCGGGAATGACAGACATTGCCATGACATGACGTCGCACAATCTCAAATATGGAAGAAGCAGCTCTTCGAAGCCATACAATCATGACAAACATATTAGCGCAATCCATACAAAGACCTCATCAAAGCTATCATCATCAAGCATCCACCAAACGATCTAGCACAAACCCCCAACAGATGATCAACCAAACCACCTCACGACCGCCATCACCGATGCTCAGCCGGCAACTCCACCGGCTCCCGCACCGCGCCTCTCCCCCTGCCATCCAACTCATTCGTATAAGTAACATCCGCCTGCCCAATCTCCACGGGCACTTTCCTCGACTGCCCCATCTCGACCGGGAACTGTTGTCGGTCAACAGTGGCAGCGGCCATCTCCACGGGGCCCTTGACCTGCCCCTGGCCCAGAGAATCCCCATCCCCCTTCAGCGGCACCACAGCAGTATAGCTCCTCTTCCTCCTCCTCCACAACCACAGCCCCAACGCCAGCACGACCAGCAGAACCCCCACCGCCGCGCCGACACTAATGCCCGCAATGGCGCCTTTCCCCAGCCCTTCTCCCTGGGTGTTACACCGCCCAAAGTCGGGCTGACAGCCCACCCCACAGTAACTGGCATTCCCGCCGCACCAGCCATGGCCCGAGCAGCAATCCCCCCATTCACTCCCGATACAGGTGACCTCCTTGCTGCAGGATCCGTCCGTCGAGATAGCCTGCGTCGCTGCTGCTGTCCCCGTTGCTGTACGCGTCTCCGTACTCGTCGCCGTGCTCCCTGTCGTCGAGGACCCCTCATTCCCGCTGCAACTCCCATACAACGACTGACACCCCTGACCACAATAGCTACTATTGCCCCCACAATACCCCAGCCCGGAGCAACAATCGCCGTACACACTGCCCAAACACGTGGTGTTGCGGGTGGCCGTCTCGCCGCACGAGCCCGTCGTGCTGACCACTGGGATGGAGGCGTCGCTGCATTTGCCGTACCCCGGTTGGCAGCCTTCACCGCAGTAGGCGCTGGTCGAGCCGCAGTAGCCCTTGGCGGAGCAGCAGTTGCCGAAGGTGGAGGTGAGGCAGGTCGCGTTCGTGGCGCTGTTGGCGCTGCAGTTGCCATCGGTGCTGGTTGGGTTCATTTCGCGTTGGGGTGGGAGTTAGGGTTTGGCTGTGTGGATAGATAGGGTGTATAGGTCGGGGAGTGGAAACTCTAGTTCGTTGTCTTGGGTAGGTTAAGCTTTAGAGAACCAAACCATTATCCTGGAAGTAACGAATCTATGAGTCGAATAAAACAAAAGGGAAGAAAGAGTGAATTTGATTTTTAGGAAAGTCAAGTGGTGGGGAGAGCGGAGCACTTAAGAGGATCATCAGATTCAGGGATTAACTAACTTCAGGGTCTACTGTGTAAGGGTTCTCCTATAATTTCTGCTACTATAGCCCCCCCCCCCCAAGATGTGAAGAATACGTTAGCGCTGTCCAATGTCCATTCCATGTGGTGCGTCTCAGTCTAGCCTCTCACCCAGCCAAGCCCAGCCAAGGCCAAGCCAAGCGCCAAGTAAGACAAGTCCAGTTCCTGTCCTGTCCTGTCCTGTCCAGTCCCTGTCCTGTGGGGCTTCAGAAATTTGACACGCGAGGCTTGAGTGGGGGCCGGCCAGATTCCGGTCGACTTGATTAACCATGTGGGATGTTGAAACTGTTGACTGTTGGGGTTGGGTTCGAGTTTCTTTGCACGGTTGCATGCGGAGAATTATGGCAGGTTGACGACCCCAGTGACAGTGGCAGTGGCAGTGGCAGTGCAACTCCTGTTCAGTCCAGGGCTAGACTAACTTACCGGTAGGTCCATCCTTTCCGCCGCCGTGGGCGCTTGAGCGGGTGAGTGTTAGATTAAGGAGGATCCACTAAACTTAATGTGTGCTGGGTTCTGTACGTGGACGGTATGAGGGGCTATCGCAAGGATTTAATGGGGGGTGATTGGGTAGGGTCGGTCAGATGCCGTGAATAGCCCCCCGGGGTATTGTAGAAGGACGGACAAATCAGTGCGGTCTGGGGTAGTAACTACGTGCTGCACACTTCATCCTGTCACTGCGGATCTGATGGCTGCACCGGCTGTCCCTCATCCAAGATATAATCGATGCTTTGCGGTAGCTAAGCCACCAGACCTAACAAGAACACAACAACAGACACCCATCAAAATCCCTATGTGCATATTCCAGCCAATATATACAAGAACAAGAACCCGCCACCACCAGTCCTCGCCATCAAGTCACAATTTACTCTGCACTCGGACTAAACCGACTCCACGACCGGATCCGCTTCCCAAAGATATAGAACAAAATCGGCACCGGGAACAGGATAGCCGTCAAGCATCCCAGCAGTGTCATCGCCCAGTTGACCCCCAGGTTGTGGAACTGCACAGGTCAGCTTGGTTCATGAGTGAAGAGTGAGAACGCAACGTACCATGGGCAACGCGAACATGGGAAACCCCGCCCCAAGCCCCGACCGGAAGAAGCAGTTGGCTGCGATGGCCGAGTTGGAGTTGACGCCGTAGCAGTCGATGATATAATTCAGGCCCTAACCGTGCATGCCATTAGTTGGTTGACGAGGATCCCACAGGCAAGGAGACAGATGCCATACCTGCATGAAAATCAACAAGATCCCCGCGCCCAGGAAGCCCCCCGAAATGGCCTGGGGCACCCAGGAGATCGACGGATTGGACGTCCACCCGAACCAGAACATGCCCGCCGGCAACAACACTCCCCCAATCATCATGGGAATCAGTCGCTCCTCGGGGACAATATGCCCTTCGCGGCGGAGGACGACCTGGAATCGGGTCTTCGTAAAGGTGATGATAATCCCGCAGCCCACCAGGACGCCGCACGTCACCGCGACGAACGGCAACGCCCCGACGCCCTCATTCCACCCGCGCATCTCCTGGAAGGCGATCGGATAAGCCTCGAAGCACAGATACAGGAACCCATAGATAAAACCCATGTACAGCGTGATCAGCAGCAGGATCGGCTCGAGGAACAGCATGTGGATCGGCCGCACGAGGTACCGGTGCGCGATACTTGTCAGATCGACCGGCTCTTCCTCTGCGCGCGCATGCAGCGCCCAATTGCGCGTCGCGTGGCGCCGCCGCCGCGCGCGGCGCTGCAGCAGCACCGGCGCAAAGGTCTCGGGCACCACCAGGAAGCCCAGACCGCCAAAAAAGAAGGCCATGATCGCGGTGATGTACTCAGTCCAGCGCCAGCCCAGATGCGACATCGTGATGAACCCGCCGACGATGGGGCCCGCCACGGGGCCCACGAAGGTGCTGCCCGCGAAGACGGCCATGGCGATGCCGCGCTCCACCGGATCGAAGAAATCGGCCAGCATGCCGCCCACGATGGCCAGCGGGGCGCTGGCGAACAGTCCCCCCAGAAACCGGCACACGAAGATCGTCTGCAGGTTCTGGGCCACCGCCACGGGGATCTGGAAGATAGCGAAGATGAAGAAGCCCACGAACAGCGGGGTCTTGCGCCCGTATAGTTCGGACAGCGGGCCGAAGGCCAGCGGGCCGAAGCTGTACCCCAGCACGAAGAGGCTGGTCCCCAGGATCATCACTTCCTCCGACACCCCGAATTGCTCCGCCGTGGCCGCCGTCGCGGCGCTGAAGACGGACGAGGCGAATGTTACGGAGACGGTCATCAAACCCAGAATGATTGTGATGGTCCATTTGCGGGTTTCCGACCAGTTGGGAGGATATTCCTGAATCCGATTCATCAGTAACTATCTATAGAACGGCGGACAAGTTCGACACAAGATAAGAACATACTGGGTCATCCGGCCCGTCCCAGTCCACGATGTTCGGATCTTTCCCATCCTCGGCCGAAGGCTCTACATTCTGTTTCTCGACATCATCATGCACCACGGTACTGGACGCGCTCGAGTGGCTCGGCCGATGCTCCGACCGCTCCGGGGACGGAGACGGGGGGTAGGTCTGTGCGGGTGCGTGTGCGGTTGCGGTTCTTTCCACCATGGCCAGTGCTGCAACGATGTCGCCTGAAAGAGTAAGATGTGTCGCATGATGTGTGTCTCGTCTCTGTCCTTAAATACACCCCAGCTCTCCTCATGATGTAAAACCATCTCTCAGATTGTGAGCCTCGTTGGAGGGGCAGAGAAACGTCATAACAAATCGGGTATCGGATGCGGGTGGCAAGCAACGGTCCCCCCAGGTTGACACCGAATAAACCCACGCGAGGGTGGGTGAGGTGAGAACAGCATTGTCAACCAGGTCAACACATGTGGTGTGTAAGCAATGACCCGGCTTTGACATCATTCAGGTACCCCCAGGTGCAGTGCAGCGCCTGAGCTGTGTTGTGTTTGTGAATCAAGTTGCTGATTCATCGGCGGTCGAGACGGTGGAGTGCCGGTTATCCGGACCTGGTCTTGTTCCAGAACGCGACTGGCTGCATCATAGCAACGTTTGAGTGCGACTGGGCCAGTATTCCCCCAGTGATTGATTGGGAGTCTGCTCGCACCGGCTTTGCTGAATCATGGGAGAAGAGCTCCGCTCGCTGATAAGCGACTATCTCCCTACCAGTCCTGATTTCGTCAGTATCCTCGCCCGACTCATGAGAAACTTTGATAGACGTACGTGGAGAGTGGAAAGAATATCGCCTGCCTAAATCCCGTATGTCTTCTCAAGATCGCACGATCAGGTCTCCATTGGTTGATGGTTTCTTTTGAGTAGCCATGCCTTTCTTCAGTCTAGGAAGCCATGTGCATTAGCCGGTAAGCCGAGTCGGTGGATGAGGGAGGTTCTGTTAATGTACCCAAACCGCGGGGAAAAACTTATCAAACACGGGATCGCGGATTTTTATGGCAAGATCGACAGGTGGCTTTCCCTTCAGCAACAACACGATCTGCTTCACCTTTCAGGGCAATCCCGTCTTGGCGAGCTTGTCAGGCTACGGCAAGCGGATGCTACAGAACATGTCATCCAAAATCTTTGAGAAGAAGATCTCTATTTGTACTGAGTACATCTTAAGAAGTGAATTCGTGGTCGAGATGCCGGAGCACAAGGCTCAGTTTGCCATCTAAGCGTCTTTCATTGCCCCAAGGTATCACATTATGAATTTGAAAAGCTTCCAAAACAGCGCTAAAAAATCCAAGCTCAAATCAACTGCCAGAAAGTAAACCCGAAATAAGAAAATAGAATCAAAGGATCATCTATAGGGTATTCATCGAAGCAATGCAAACTAACGGTGTATCGGTCGCAAATCGACAGGTGGTGACGTCATTCACTAACTTCCTCGCATCGTCTCCAGGCAGTCGCGGTCGCGCAGGTAGAGGTCGATTCCGACGTCGACGCAGACCTCGCGCAGCGGTTCAGCCATCTCATACACCCGTGGCCGGATGAATCGCTCGCCCATGGAGTCGGACGCCTGGTAGCCAGACGCCTCTTCATCCTCCTCGTCGTGGAAGAAGCCCTCGATATCGAGTCGCTTCAGGCTGGTGAATTGGGTCTTGCGTTTCTGGAGGACCGACTTGAGCTGTCCCACCAGCATGGTCAGCGAGTTCTCTTTGCATCCTTCTACATACAAGGCTTCCAGAGATGGCGGGAGGATATCGGTGAGGGGACACGATGGGTCCAGCTGGTAGCGAATGTCGAGCAGATTAGGCAGGCGGATGCGGAGTTCCTTGAGCGAGGTGTACTCGGTCAAAGGACCAAGCCATTCATCATGTGTCTCGTTGGCCCCGGCGACGGTGAAAGGCAGATGGGTGCCCCCATTGTCAAGCCACAGACTCTGCAAACAATGTTTGCTCGTGTCCAGCGACCGGTAGAAAGAAGAAGGTCGGTAACCCTCCGAGAGAAGGTGTGAGTCGGAGTGCTGGTACTTGAACGATTTCAGAGAAGAGCAGGAGGCGATCAGGCTCTCCATACCCCTGGAACCACTGCTTGTGCAGAGAGTAATCTCGGAGATGGATGAAGAGCCAACTACAGGTTCGTACTCAGAGTCTGCAGTCTCCGACTCGCTTTCTTCTGACCGCGTAGTTTCAACAACCGAGTCGGCGGTAAAGGTCCGCATTGATGGTAATTGAAAGAATGGGAGGATTTGTGAAGGCATGAAGCTCCCTCGGCTATCCTCGTCATCTGGCAGATGGCTGAGAGATACATCTCGCAGCACACGGAAGGTGGGTTGATGGTGGAATGGCCTTTCTCCCGTCACAGCTCTCTGCATCATGCGATCCAGATAGATGTTGTTCTTCGGATAGACCAGTCGAAGGTGTCTGAGATTACCCACCAGGGGCAGAAGAAGCGCAATCCAGGCTTCCTCGACTCCGTTCGCGAGATCCTGAGACCATCGTTCTTGTTCCTGTTCGGAATGGCTGAAACCTCCAGACAGGTTCGTGAAGGGTGTTATATCAGTATCGGCAAACGAAGTAGAAGAGGAGGCCGTTCGGGACTGCCATTCATGAAAGTCCAATGAGCGAACAGCCCGAGCCAGCTCGGGACGACGGAGCAGCGCCCCTAGAAAAGAATGTAGTTGAGCGCAGCTCTTCAGACTAGCAGCTCGATAGAGCAAGCGTCGAAACAACTCATTGAATTGACGGGATACAAAGAGGAGATTGTAGCGGTCCCGGTGATCTTCCACAAACTCCCCAACCAGGAGGAGTATATCATTAGGAAGTGCGAAAGTCATAGTGAGCGAGCAAAATCAATTGCTATGCTAAGAGCAGAACAAACCCCCCGGTCTGGCAAGAAGCAGCGATAAGGGACATCCACCGGAGGCCTGGGCCATTTTAAAGGAGGTCGCCGCCGCACGCTGATAACCTAAGATAGCGGCGGTGATCGATTGAATTTTTTCCACTTTTTTTTTTCTTATGGAGTTCCACAATCTCTTCGGTTCAAACTTTACCATATGGAGATGAAACCAGGCGATCCATTGCGGGCCTGCGAGCGGAAAGGGCGGAGGAGAGCCTGAAGGGCTGTGTGGATCGTCATTGGGGATCGGTTGACCTGCTTCATCCATGGTTCCAGTGATCGAGAAGTGTTCCGTAAAAGGCTTTTTCTTGTGCATGCAGGCGCACAGCGTCGTCTGTTCCGGCCACAAAACACAAGGCACTGTTGCTCCTACTGCGGAGCTCCCGCTGCATAATTATGCATGATGATGATGGCTTGCTGCGATGGAGTGTCTGGAGAGACACTCTTTCCAAAGCGAGTAGGACAACCGAGACGAGGCTGTTCGAATATCGGCAACCCGCGCTCAGCGAGAAGGGGCTCGAACCTCGCAGTAGTTCTAATTACCCGACGGCTTTCTATCCGCTGTCGCCACCGCGGGACGCCAGGGCAGGCTTGATGGAGTCCTGATGAGCACAGGCTTCCAACGGGGGATGAGGAAGTGATGCGGATGGAGGCGGTTAACGTGTCAGTGCGAGGAGAGAAAAAGGGCTTTGGTCTTTTCTCTCCCGCGCTATCCTCCATATTGGTGATGTTATCAGGCAGGGACAATTCCTGAAGTTGAAGGAAGTATCAAGAAGATCCCCAAGAAGAGCCGATGCGGGGGAGAAGTTGCATTCTGCCCCTCGTCTGGCCGCCCTGTGGACTGGACTGTACCACCGACCTCGAATGCACTACACTAAGGTGCATCAGGTCTTTAACAAAGTCAATGCAAACCTACGGGCTCTGGAAAGTCGTGCTCGTGCTTTTAAAGCACCAATGGTTCAGCCGACCAACGGGAGAGCTGTGTTAATCATGCAGATCAACGCTTCATGTTGCGGTCTCCTTTCTATCATCGCTATCAGTGTCTCATATATGATATGTGGAAAAAGAACTTCTGGATCTGCAAGGCTAAACGAGTTCATCACGAATTTTAAGATCCTACCCATCGCTGAAAGTACTATTGATCACCCCGGTCGTAGCAGAGCTCAATAAGGCACGATAAAGGACCTAGCATCAGGACCAGTATTTACTGTTCGTTTGTCGAAGTCTAATCATTCACGACGGTTGCCTGTCGAAACTGGGACCATCGATGCGACACTATGCGCAGTATATCAAATGTGGGGAGAAATAAGCAAGCTTCACAGAGGAAGCGAGTGGGTAGGAAATTCAGTCACTAGAAGGTCTTAATAGAAGAGACTAAAGAGGCTGAATGATCGTACCTAGTATCCTTACTGCTGTAGTGTACATAGTTGAGCAATTTGTTCTCCACTAACAGTCTACTGGACTGGATTGGTTTTTGATACACTGCAAATAAGGTCTCGTGACAAGCTGTCCTGCGCCAATTCTCTCTCTCCTACAATATGTGGTGCATCCGAGGGTGAGTGCACTGCACTGGAGACAAAGTCATGCATAACAGCTGCTGCTTATGGCCTATTTCGAGTTCCTGAAGAGCGAATACTATTGCAAACTACCGCGTCCATGGTCCATGGCATGCACTCAACCAGATCGGAGCATGAGTGTCACAATCATATTGACTGCTTCATCTGCCCTGAGATTGATGCCGTCAAGGCAACAGAAATACCGAGAGCCATGGTAGCTGAACTAGCCACTATGACCAAACAACAGCCCAAGGCATCCTGCTACTGACACAAATGGCCATCCCATGCCTCTACCTTCAAAGCCAGACATCAGACAAGCCATCAAACACATCAGCAAAGCTCCGCACAATCTCGCACCCTAGTGAGCCCACAAACTCTGCCAAAACAGTCACCATCAAAAGCGAAAAATGATATTCAGTCGAACGCCTTATTCCAGAAGAGAAATAGAAAGACAAATAAAGTAAATGCAAAAGTAGTGGGTGAAACCCCCTTCGCTTCTTCAACGCCCATCCCATCCGACGAACCTCCACGCGATCAACCCTTTCATCCCTCCCAAAGCCCATCAACGTCTTTGTCTGCGGTCTGCGTTCAGACAGGTGCATAGTTTTTATGCCTGGTCCCCATCGGGTGAAGCTCTTTCGATTTTGGTCTGGTATATGTAAAATGGAAAATAGAAGGGCTGGATCGCCTTCCCCCTTATGGTAGGTAGGCAGGTAGGTAGATAGGTATCAACGGATTCGGATGGATTGATGAGAAAGAACCACCGCCCGCCCGCGTCTATATTTTACCGGAGGCCAAGGTCCGTCATCTCGACGTTGTCGGCAGAGCCCATCCAGAGGATGTTGTTGCATCTAGTTTGAGCGATAGAAGGTTAGTGACTGTTGGAGAAGAGGACTGGTTCGGTTGGTTTGGGCCCCGAGGGTGTCTCTGTCTGAAAGATCACCCCCTCCGGAGCCCGGGCGGCAGCCCATACGCACCTGATCAGCACCAGACCCAGAGTTCCCGTGTTCTTGCCGTCAATGAACTCTTCCGTATCCCGCAGCAGCACGTTCATGTACGAGTCGATGCTCTCCAGCTTGCCCTTGTACTCCGTTTGGCCCCATTTCAGGCGGATGACGACCTCTTCGCCGACCCTATATCCAGAAACAAATGGTTAGACCCTGCGTCACTCAGGCGGGGTATTCCTTCGACAGGAAAGAGAAAAAGGTTGCGCGGCTGATGCGAAGAGGAGGTGCGGGGGGAAGCTCGAGACGGTAAGACGGTCGATGGGGACTCGCATACCTAGCTTGGAGGAAAGGGCGGGGGTTGACGGGGTTGAACTGTAGACACAAAAGTCAGCACTGCTTTTCACTGAGACAGGCTCTTCTTGGGAGTGGGAGAGAGGCTAGGTGGGAAAGGAACGCGGTGCGTACACTCATATCGGCGGAATCTGATCGGATGCTAGCTGTTTAGCAAGCTCGGGGTTGAGACGGCGGACCGGAGGGTGGAGTCCCGCGGCAGGAAGAATATATCTCAGCGCGGAGAAAAGATGCAAGGGTCCCGGAGAGAGGTCGAGGACGAGGTTGAATGAATGATCCGGAGGATTGGGAGGTGAAGATGTCGAGCGATTGATCGCGGTGTCGCCAAGTTGACGGCCGCCGGGCTGGAGACACCGCGAAAATGTGATGCGGCTGTCGAAAGCCAATCAGAGAGCTAGACACGCTCACCGCCTACTCTTCGCAGTATCGCTTCCAACTTGAAGTTCTGCTGCTTAATCCTTCCTCCAGGCTGTTAAGCTTGGTACAGAGTTAGTACATATTTATAGGCATAATTTGCAAGGATGCCTGGTTTTTACTGTTCAACTCGTACGGTCACTGACTATAAGTCAAGCATCGCAGAAAATACGGGAATGACGACACCGAATGTCAAACGTTATGTCAAACGTTACGTCGAGCTCAGCTAAAACGCCGCAAATGTACACGAGAGAACAGAAAACCCTATGATTTCCCCCCCCAATCGAGGTCCTAAAAGACATCGACTTAGGATCTTCCCACCGTCCAGGAAATCTCCTTGATGGAGACCTCATCGCCGGCCTTCTCATCGTAATCATACCACTCCTCGGACAAATCAATGTCGGTGAACGGAGTGTTCGACTCGACACCCTTGGCCAGCCACTCGCCCTGGTAGAAAATCGCATTAGTTTCTCCTAAGTTAAAACGCCCCGAGAGATAATAGACAACAGACAGGGCCAAAGACTGGCGGACACTTACATCGGCCTTGAACTCGGTAAACTCCAGACCCCGGCAGTCGATGTCAATCACCTTCTGGCCGGTGCGCTTGTCATTCGCCTCGTAGGCCTTGGGCCCCGCGATGATCGAGGCAGAGTGGGTTTTCTGTTTTGAGTAGAAGCGCATGAGAATCGGCGATTATTTCAAAAGACATCTCACGAGCGAAGGCAAGAAAGGATCCTCACCTGGCAGAGCTTGCATTTCCACACAAAGTTGGCCTCGCCCCGGCTTCCCGGGATTTCGTGCTGCTCCTGGTCTTCCTGTGAGCGGGTGCCTTTTTCCTCGAAGAAGTTGGGGATGGACTTACGAAGCGAGTGAAGCTGACCGGGTTGGGGTGAACCTCACGACAGCCCGTGCATTGGACCTTGAAGGTGTAGTAGTAGGGCTCCTCCTCGGTGTCCTTGGGACGGAGCTCGTTAACTCTGTTGTTTTACGTGAGTTAGCTGCTACGGTTTAGGCCATTTTGATGCATGCATTAAAACTGTGCTGTGTTGCGTCAGGTGCGGGGAAGAGGTCTAAGTCATGCAGAGTGGCAGAAAAAAAAAAAGGGCATGAGAACCTTGAGGGTGAGACCCGCAGGCGGTTTTTGTGTGGAAGATCAAATCAGTAACTTACCCGTTGAGTTCTGCGGAAAGGATCAAGGAGAGCATTTTGCTGGATGTTCCTGGTTGTGTTTTGTGTGCTGTGTTGGGCAGATCGCTGGGGAAGGACGACGAAGTCATACAGGCCTGGTGCGGGGCCACACTTCGGCAGACGATGCTGCCGCCTTCGCCGCCTTTACATCATTTTTCTCTTCGCTAGCCTCCTGGCTGACAAACGCATACAATTATTTGCGTACGTTTGCTCTGGAAATCTTGGAAATGAAACTGAGAATTCTCGAGATATATACAACAACGCCAAAACATGCCAGGTCGCAACCGCTGCAATAGCACAAACCCGAAACTGCAAAAATAAACAAGAAACCTATTTACATCAGATCCCAAATCGGGAGGCCGATCTCCGAGGATAAATTACAGACATCTTCTTCGAAAAGCCCATCCTTACAGCCGGCTAGCCTGCTGGTCCTGACCCAGCGGCTTCGTCGTGAAGGCGCCAAAGAAGGCATTGAGGGCGTCAACCGTGCCACTGCCCTCCACCAATTGGACAGTGCAGGCAATGTGGCTGTCAGGACGAGTGACGACAACACCACCGACCTCGGGGTCAAATCCAAGCTTCTCGTGAGCCGCAAACTTGGCGTTAGGAACCCGGACGTCGGGAAGGTCGTCGGCGTAGATGTGGTGGTGGTAATCCCGCAGGATCTTAGGCACAGCCGCCATGTCCACCTTGTTCTTCTCGTCGGCATAGATCACACACAGGGAGAAGAGCTTGGAGTGAGGGAGGTGGCGCTCGAAGAAGGAAACATCGGCGATGTCGCTTCTGCGGTACACCGACAGGAAAGAGCGCTCCTTCTCCAGGTTGGCGGCGAAGTCCGCGATGGCCTTGTTGGTCTTGGCCTGCTTACCGGCGAAGACGAAGATACGGAAGGCACCGTTGGCGGGGATCTCTTGTTCCAACTCCACGAAGTTAGCATCCGCCAAGCGGGTGACGGTGCTGGGAGTGAAAGCACGACCAGGGGTCAGCTTCACGCCAGGGATGTTGAAGAGAGGAGACTGGGCGGGGTGGGTCTCGTCCCAGGTGAAGACGTTGGACTTGTAAGCAACACCATAACCACTGGTGAACTCGCAAGACTCCTTGAAAGTCTTGACGAAGGGATCCTCCTCGGCATTGGCCGCAGCGGCGTTGTGGCTGGCCTCGCCGACTTCGCCGGCAGTAGGGCGACGCTTGGAGAACAAGGCAGCGTACTTGTTATCGAAGCTCAGGAGAGTCTCGGCGATGTCCTTGCGCTCGCTCTCATACGTCTTGAGGATCTCGCGCTTAGCCAGTCCGGACTCAACGGCGTGGATCTTCCAAGCCATGTTAAGCGCATCGTGGAAGGCCGTGTTCATGCCCTGGCCGGCCTTGGGGCTGTGAGTGTGGCAGGCATCGCCGCCCATAAACACCCGCTCGTCCAAGGTGTACCGTTCCGAGATACCCTGACCGATAGGGTAGACAGAGTACCATTCCACGCGGTCCCACTCCACCCAGTAGGGCTTCAAGATCTTCTTCGCGGTCTCCTGCACTTCCTCGGCGGTGGCAGTCTTGCGGGGGTTGAAATCGGGATCGGTCGACGAGGCGATCTGGACGTAGAGGCGAACCATGTTGTCTTCACGGGGGATAACCATGATAGAACCGGCATCGGAGTGGATTGTGCACTTGGTCTGAGAATTGCAATGCGATGTTAGCAGATGCCAATTTCCGCGGCTCAGATGTGATGCGACAGCTTACCTCGATGTCAGGGAAGTTAGTTCTCACGACACCATCCATGACACCCCAGACGTAAGAGATAGGATCCTTGTGGTGGATCTGGATGCCCAGCTCCTGTCTAACAAAGCTGCGAGCACCTTCACCACTGAAGAGGTACTTGCTGCGGACGGTCTTGATGACATTGGTGTCGATGCACTTCAGCTGGACCTCGACGGGGTAGGTCTCGTCCAGACCGTCGTTCTTGAAGCCAACGATGGTCCAGGGTCTATCAACGGTGGTACCAGCCTTCTGGATCTCGTCGAGGAAGACGCGCTCGATCTTACCCTGGTGGACGAGGGTGGTGAACGGGTATCTGGTGTCGATGAAGCGCGGGCAGCTGGGCCAGCTTCCAGTGCGGTGGATTCCTTGGTCGCCGGGGAGAGGATCCCAGAAAGCGACATCGTAGACCTTGGCGGGCTCATAGGCCATAATCTGGCGCTTCAAGCCCAGGTTGCGGAGGATCTCAGTCGAGCGGGGCTGGATTCCGTCGGCGCGGCCAGTGGCGGTGGGTACGGGACGGTTATCGATGTGCTTAACCTTGTAGCCCCAACGAGACATGCACAGCGACAAGAGAATGCCAACGGGGCCAGCGCCCACGATGACGATATCATACTTCTCTTGCGATTGAGTCATGATGCTGTGCGACAGAGAATCTGTATGTGTGGTAAAGTGGTTGTAGGATAAAAAGAGGTGTGAGTAGTTCGGGGATCAAGGGGTAGGATTCAAGACCATCAGCCACCAGGAAAATGAGTGGAGAGGGATGAAGATGTAAAGATAAAATGTGAGTATTGAGCTGATGATGATGATACAAGAAAAAAAAACCAATTGAACGACATGAGGATGATGGAGGTATAAATAATATTGATTTGATTGAAAAGCTGCAGACAGGGTCCCACCGGATTGCATACAGGCGGCAAGCAACGGAGTTGTAGGACGGCATTTCAGTGTGGGCTAGATTGTGGAGGAGCCTGGGGGGTGCATGGCGACCGAACTGCACTGTGGCCGGGGAGGGCCTTCAGCCTCCAGAGAATTGAGTAAGATTGTGGGACACTGAGAAATACAATCTGAGTAAGATGAAGGCGACCGCTTTTCCCATTGGAGGATGGCGAGGAGATCACTGGGATTGCCGGTCTGCAATCCGAGCCTCCGCACTCTGGGAACGGCTAGCACTTCGGCAGGTGGAGGCCACGACACGTGATGCTGCTCCTCGGCAGCCTCTCCCGGGATTTCCTCTCTCAATCCCTTGGATCTGATTGGCTCAAGTCGTGCCGAACGCCGAACTGTTCTGAGTTAAAGGTAGGTAGGCAGTTGATTTCCATATAGGGAGTCGGTGAATGTCCTCGCTTCGAGGCTCAGTCTGGCTCTCTATATCAGGAATTGCATATTACAAGAATCAAGAAGGCAGACTTAGTTTGCAGTTGATCTCACAACATCGTTATGAGCATCGGCATATCACAAAGTGATGAACGTGCACTGCATAATTTCCAATTTGGGGCACAATCAGTCGCCACATATCTCCGACGCTGCCGACCACAACCCGGCAATTTACTCCGAGATTGGCTTCCCCTTGACTCGCCTACCGACTCCAATGCCTTGAGCTCTGGCCCGACGGACTCGGGCCCCGGATTAACGGTAGATCTTGACCCCATGGGACATGTACCCGGTACTTCGGAGGAGGGCCAATAGCAGGTGCATGATATACTATGTTTGACTCATCTGGCGATTAGTACTAGGTATTGAGTCCATGCTAGGCTGGTATTCGCAGTCCTGCCTCAGGCACGCAACAGGTAATGCATGTTTGTGCTAGCAATCCGTGCCATACAGTAGCAATCATGATTGGCCTAGTCGGGATCATAAACAAGGCAAGGCAATATCTCCACTTTTTTATTGACCCGATGCTTGGACGCGAGTTTTATCAACTCAGGATCATACAGAACAATGACCAACAGTTATACGATTTACGCGTTGGCTCATAGACAGTACAAGTGTTTGTTCAGACTTTACTCAGGTAGCGAATATATCAACGCTCTATTGTCATATTTGGATGAATTAGGAGGAAACGGAGAGTATCAGAGTCATGCTCTACACTGCATCACGTTGCTCAATACTCAGCTCTCGGGACTCGCATATACAGCAGGAAAGTGTAGGGCAGGCAAGAACTATACCCCAACTCATTCACTGCCTCAACCTAGAGTGTATGTTCAATATAAACTGTGGGCCCTGTTACGGCAGCAGTAGGATCATAACACAAGCCTGATTACTATCATTTCCAGAACATCAAAACAATCAGGATTCGGCAGTCTCAATTGCAGCTTTCTAGATTCTTTGGCCTGATGTGTTCTTACCTTAGCCTATTCAGATTATTGTCCTTCATCAATAATAGCTATTCACTGATCCCAGCCTAGGTGGGGTGAATTCACCACCTTAGCTAGTATTTTGAAGAAGTGATATAATCATTGTCCTACATACTATTGCACTTAATGATAACACATTTGATATTGACAACAATAGAACAATAAGGATACTTATGACTGACACCATCCAGCATCTGATCTCCCAGTTCTCCCCCTCCAACAGATTCCTACATTCTGCTTGATCTTATTGCTTGACATACTCACATGTTGCTGTCTCTTCTACTCGCCCTCGTCTTCCAATCCTTGGTTTTAAGTCTCTCATCTAGCGAGTATCCTTGATCACAATTCTCAAAATGAGCGACCGGGTTCGCCCACAGTATACCATGTTCCAGTCACAGTAAGTACACGGATCAACTGACTCTGGTTTTTGAAAGACTGATGTCAGAGAAAGGGACCTGACATACGACGACATCGCCAAACTCAATCCCTTTTACGAACCATTCATGAAGTTCTGGACGGGCTCTCCAACTAGTGATACGGCCGTTCCATTCGATGCTCAGTCATCCGCCTCGTCGGAGTACATTCCTGTTGGAATCGAATCAGATCTGTCACCTCCGTCGCCCGTATTGCACCAGTCCGAGTTTGATGACACAGTCTGCGTGCTGGAGGCGCCAAGTTTGGCACTCCACAGTGGCCATGGACATCAAATCGGCTACCATCCATACTCTGAGCCCGAAGTCAGCCAGACGGTCCTGATGAGGCTCAGTCCTAGCCCTCAGCTGTCTCCGACTGCCGCAGACTTGACTGGTGTTTCGCTGGTAGGTAACCCCTTGAGCGGAAGCAAGCCGTCACACAAGAAACTTTTCGGCGAGAACGGCTGGCTGGGGAGCAACGCAGATCTCAGAGAGCTGGCGGGTGACAACCACAAGTCTTTCGGCTTGCGCAGATTGGGGAAGAAATTCAAGATGCATGTTGAAGACCTGGTGGAAGACCTGGTAAGTGGACCACCGCGTTCCGAAAGACCATGTCCTGACATCTCTTGTGAAAAGACCGGTGATCTTTTCAAGGTCAACCTTAGCATCCATTCCTCCGGGCCTATCCCTGAAAGGTATGGAACTGCAAGGACTGTGCCGGTTTCTCTGGATGCTCCAACCCAGGCAAGGCTGTACTCGCAACTGGAGGTCATGATCTGTGTCGTTGCCAACCGGTTCCTCGTCGAACAACACAATCGAGGTCTGCTTTCCGGGGACTCCATTTCGAAGGTCACCAACTACTGGGCTGCGAAGAATCGCCCACGAGTCGTGGAGTTTCAGTATGACCAAGCCACTCAGCGCCAATTGATCTTGTCAAACCTGCGGACTGTCCAATTCAACGGGTGTAGCGCGACCAACCCAGTCCAGCTGAGAACGAACCTGAACAACTGGAAAGCGATCGCAAAAGAGATGAGCGTTCGCACTTTCTGCGCCCCGGACAGCGCGATTCGTAAGCAAATGTATGACATCCACAAGCTTCTTGAGATGCTCGGAGCACCCCTGGATACGATGCGTGAGTTTGAGGAGTTGCAGATGCAGGCTTTGTTGTTGATGAAGCGCGGCTGATTCGCTGGAATATACTTACTGTGGTGAGGGAAAACGGGGCTACACTGGCTGGATGACGGGAGTTGATTCGCCCTTACTGGCTCGATTTCTGTCTTTTGCATTTCATTTCCTGCGGAGTTCTATTGTCTTCATGTCTCCTTGCGAAAAACGGAGTTGTTAAGCGTATCGAATGAAAGTCTAGAAAATCAATCAAGTTCTCCGCCTTGTCATCCGTCACGCGCGGAATTCTTGGCCGAATGAATGAATGAGTTGCCATCATGTGCGGATCAGGGTCATTGCATCATCGGGGATCCTAGCTCAGACGAATAACGGCTTCAAATGACCGACGTGGCTCCCTGCGTGACTACTGTCATACTCGAGATGATGAGGTGGCAGTTGCGGTCGGCGATGGTGGTGGTTTGGTTGTGGTTGTTATGGTCGTTATGGTTGTTGTTTGCATGGATGGATGGTTTCTTTCACGTGGGGTCGACGTCATCCTCTCTCCTTCCTCCGCCCATCCCAAGAAACTGGAAAGTTGTTTCTCTTTTCCCCCATCGGTTTTCTCCCATTCATATTAGTTATAATTCGAGAATGCTTCAACCTTCCGACGGATGCTTGTCATCATGCATCCGCCGAGATTTCTCCCTTTTACGCTATGACACGTCGAACTTGTCTAGACAGATTCCCTGCCACCTGCCAGTTGGAAGCTCTCCTGAGTGCTTAATTCTCCCTTGCTGACCCTTCCAGCGCGCGCTGCACTGACCGTCCACCCAAAGCTAAATTTCTTTTGTGCCACATCGTTTCATCTTTCCTCGCTCACAGCCTGCTACAGGCTTGCTCTGACTGGTTTGCGCCCAGTTCTTTTGTATTTAAAGCGAGCCGCACCCACAGGGATAGTGGATCTGCTCTCTAACATCACAATGGCCGCTCCAATCCATACTTACGGACCTTCATGTTTCCTGTCCGCCGACGCTTCGGATCCTTCCTCGTGGCACGCCTCCGAATCTCCTCCGAAGGTACGGCCTCAGTTCTTCTACACCTCTCCGCTACCGATAGATGACCCCTTGACTGCGCTACCCCCTCCAAGTGGCGGTCAGGGATCCGCCAATGCGAAGGCTCCGCTCCAACCTTTCTCGGTCCGGGATCACGCTGCTCTGGAAGAAGCCTGGAAGTCGCTACAAAGGTCCCGAAGAGAAAGTTTGGTCACGAAGGCCAAGACACAGGAAGGGCGCGCTTCCAAAAGAAACTCGGGGATACTGGTACCAGGGCAAGAACCAACAATAAGCCCAGAATGGAAGAAGAAGATGGGAGTTTCCCTGAGTTCCAGCCTGGAAGACATTCAAGGGAAGCAGACCACTGGCGCTCCACTGTCTCTGGATGACAAGGCACTGAAGACCTTCAGAGGTCGATACAAAAATGAGTTCGGAAGCCCCGGGGTGGAGCATGAAGGACCGCGGAAAAGGTCACGTACGCTTGAGACCAACACAAAGGAGAACTTGAGACCGACCAAGGCCACTTACAAGGGCAGAGAACCATTTCGTCGGGAAGATATCGAATCCACCGGAGTCAAACCCAGCGGGGTGCTACGGACGGAGGACGTAGCTTTCGACAGTGGTGATAGCGTCAGCTCCCGAGGCAACACTTCGCGAGATGCGAGTATCAGCGGTTCTCCGTTCATCAGAGCCCCAAGTCACAAGCCGCAGAGTCTATTGGGAAGATCCGTTGAGTCGAACTCTTCAAGAGACGCCATTCCAGAATCGCCGACGGATGCGACCGCTCACACTGCAGCTAAACGCTCGGGACTGAGGACAAGCATCGATAGGGGATCACTTGAGGGATCGGACGAACAACGCCAGGAATCTGTAGAGATTGACGAAACACAGTGGAAGATCCCGGTCGGGGCTTCCCGGCTTCACCTCGTCGAATTGCCAAAGCTGAAGGTATGGTGCCCTCCATGAACCGTGGGATCTACAAATTGTAACCTCTTCAATAGATGAAGCCGATATATTGGAGCCCATTACACGACATATCCAATGTCGTCCGTGCGACGTGGTTCTACAAGAATACTATGTTGCCAGTTGAGACTGAGCTTGCTAACAAGCTAGAAGATGGGTATCTCTACCTGAAGCCGTGGACTGAAACATGGCAGGACGAACTCAATAGCTGTGTCGAGAACGGCGCTGATGCGGAGCTCAAGGTAGTGCACAGGCTTTGGCCCCAAGAGGACCCAACCCGACCGTCGACAGCTGCCGCTGCTCCTGATGGTACCCCATCCACTGCGCATCTGGCGGAGCAACCAGAGCGCCCGGACAACGAGCCTTTCGCACTCGATGAGAACCGCGCTGCTGGGGCCACTCCGGCGCACTCCGAATCTGTCAAGCCCTTCATGAACTCGAGCGTCATCTATGCTGACTGGCGGGAGGCACAGATTCTACGACCCAGTCTTCTTCCGTCTGTCTCGCGCGGTCGCAGACCGCTCAGTGCGATTCGTAAAGGTAGACAGATTGGGATCCCTGTAGTTCGCGGTTTCAGCCGGCGATTGTGGGACCGTCTACATCCCAGCAAACCGAACCCTGTAGAAGTGAGGAACTACCTTCGAAGCACCCAGACTCGAGCTATGTCCACCTCCGGAGAACCGGTATGCTATGCCTGCGCGATAGAGGAACTACGGCCGGCTCCGACGGACCTGGTCCTCGTCATCCACGGTATAGGCCAGAAGCTATCAGAACGAATGGAAAGTTTTCATTTCACACACGCGATCAATGCCTTCCGCAGGACCATCAATATGGAGCTGAATAGCGAGCCCGTGTGGCCACACGTACGTCCAGGACACAGCGGGATCATGGCCTTGCCTGTGAATTGGCGCTCAACACTGTCCCTGGATGAGGCCAATCTCGAGTCCCCAGCGGCCGGGGATCCAGCTTCCAATCACTACTCCCTGAAGGATATCACTCCGGAGACGATCCCCGCTGTCAGATCCCTGATCAGCGACGTCATGTTGGATATTCCATACTATCTGTCGCATCACAAACCCAAAATGATCCAAGCCGTCGTCAAAGAGGCCAACCGTATCTTCCGCCTGTGGTGCGAGAACAACCCCGGATTCCAGCAGAATGGCCGGGTCCATCTACTCGCACATTCTCTCGGAAGTGCGATGGCTCTGGACATCCTCAGTCATCAACCCACCAAAATCCCCAGGTTCGATTTCTCCACGACCAGCGTGCATGGAGACATTTTTGAATTCGACACGAAGAACCTATTCATCTGTGGCAGTCCCGCGGGTTTTTTCTTGTTCCTCAACAAGGGTATACTTTCTCCTCACCCACAATCTCCATTTGAGACAAGATTCCAAGCTAACCAATTACACCAACGCAGCCAACCTCCTCCCCCGCCGCGGCCGCGACAAACCAGGTTGCGAAGGCGATGACCGACTCCGCGGCGTCGCCGGCGAAGCAGACACATACGGTTGTTTAGCCGTCGACAATCTCTATAACATCATGCACACCACAGACCGTATGTCCCCTAGCCCCCTAGCCCCCTCCTTATCCAATTCAATCCAACCACCCCCCTCTCCACCACACACAACTAACCCCGCCGAAAACGAAGCAATCGCCTACCGCGTCAACGCAGCCGTCGATAGCGACCTGGCCGCCTCCCTCAAACCCGCCTCCATCCCCACCACCACCTCCACCATCTGGTCCTCCTTCGGCAACGTCTTCCGCTGGTCGTCCAGCACACCCTCTAGTGCTCTCCCACCCCCGGCCACCGCCATCATCACGGCCAAACTCCCCACGCAGGTCGAGCTGGAAACCCACGACTTCACCCGCGAGGAGATCGCCGAGAAACGCATGCTGCTGCTCAACGACAACGGGCAGATCGACTACTACCTGTCCGGCGGCGGCGGGCCGTTGAATATCCAGTACCTGAACATGCTGAGCGCGCACAGCAGTTACTGGACGCTGACGGATTTTGTGCGCTTTGTGGTCATTGAGATTGCAAGGAAGCAGGGACGGGAGGCCACGTTGCCCGTCTTGCGGGCGGAGAAGAAGAAGGGGTGGAGGGTTGGGAAGGGTTGATTCTTTTTGTTGGAGTTTTTGCTTCGGGTTTGGGGGTTGGGGTTGATCGGGATTGAGGGAGGGAATTGGGAGGGAAAGGGGAAGTTTGGATGACGGATTGGGATTGTGAGAGAGGGTGGAGTTTGGGATTGATACCCTGGTCCTGGTTTTCCTTATTTTTTCCTTTTGGTTGGGCGGTAGATAGAATTTCTCGGAGGTGTTCTTGCTATCTCGATTCGTCTGTTTGCACTGGGTATTTACGCTACAAATAGAATGGAGTCGATCTTATGTTATGTGGATGGTAGGTTGGTATCTCCGGGCTGCGGATGCGGGTGGCTATATATTGTTCCCTCTAATTCCTGCGTACAAGGCACATTATGAATTCCACCTGACAAACAGGCCCAGAGAGCAGTCGTGCAAGACATGTGTACATTTGAGATAATCTTTCACATTAAGGCTGTGAGACCGGTAAGTCAACCCTCCGCCACAACCGGTCCCAACATCAACGCTTCCACCAACGCCCCTTTCTCGACCTTCCCCTTCCCGGGCCGAAGCACCACCAACGCATTCGCACTGGCAAGACTGCCGACCCTCGAACTTCGCTGACCCACGCCATCCACCCCGGTACTCGTGGCATAGAGCCTCCCATCCGAGCGGGAGGCCGTCACCACCGCCCGGTGATACTCTGTGCGCTTGGGGTCGGCCGGGAACGGATGCGCTAGCGTAACCGAAACGAGCGGCAGGCCCAACGACGATGGCGTCACGGGTCCGGATCCGCCCTGTCGGTAACCCATGCCCATCAACTTGTGCAGCGAAGGCAGCACGAACAGGTTGAGCGTGACCAGCGCCGACGCCGGGTTGCCGGGGAGGGCGAAGATGAGCTTGTTCTGGCGTTCTTGCTGCGCGTCCGTCGAGGATGAAGAAGGCTTGAAAGGTACAGTAGCGAAGGTGGTCGGTTTGCCGGGTTTCATGGACACGCGCCCGAAGTGAATGGTGCCGCCGAGTGAGCGTTCGATGGTCGGTTTGAGGAGGTCCAGCTCGCCCATGGAGACGCCGCCGGTGGTGATGATCACATCGACGCTGCAGGTGGCGGCCGTCCCGACGCCGCGGAGAGCATCCCGGAGGCGGTGTTCGAGCTCGCCGGCCGGGGTGTCGCGCGCGATGCCCAGGTCAACTGTCGGGAACCCCCAAGATGTGAGGCAGGAGAGGAGAGAGAGGCGGTTCGAGTCCCGAATTTGCCCGCCGGTGAGCTGGCGCGGGTCGTTGTGTTCGACGAGCTCGTCGCCGGTGCTGAGGACGCCGACCCGCGGCTTTTCGTAGACCTTCACGGTCCGCGTGCCGGTGGCTGCTAGGAGGCCGATCTCGCCGCCCACGGAGGTGATGAGGTCGCCCTTGCGGAGGATGAGGGAGCCGAGGGCGACGTCGCTGCCAGGTTCGCGGATGTT